TGCGTTTCCATCCGCGGCGGGAGAGACCGATACCGATATCATGCCCGTGGGGATTCAAGTAATTGTGAGAGACGCTGAACCTCGACAACAGAACTTGTCGGTCGTCCTGGCCAAGCCATGCCTGGCAGCTAAGAAGCTGAAAATACAAGTCCAAAATGACCAGGTGCAAGTGATAGTTGACCTCATTGCCGTGCCGGTTATTGCGTGCCTTTACCACGGCTAGTCAAGGGCATGTACTGGAAGTCAACACATCCTCCGGGCAAGTGAAATGTGCCCCATAGTCCCATCCCTTCTTCCACATGACCTAATACCGCGTCTGAGCGCTGATGTTTTTTGGTAGCCGAATGTTTTCTGGTCAAGCTTCTGCCACGAGGGGAGCGGTGTCCGTTGTGGCTTTGTCCCGAACCTGGCCGGAGCTGTACTTCCTCCGTTGTGGCCGTTGTGCGAGGCTATGGTAAAATTCCACCAGTGGCTGTCGAGCTCGTTTCTACCCTGACTTTCGCAAAAGCCAAAGACTCAGGAAAGAAGAAAGAAGGGGTATTCGTCTTGAAAAGTGCATAAATGTCATCTTTTGTGGCGGTGAACAGTGCTCGTAACCAAGGCAAAGCGTTGAAGACTGCTTGGCAACAAACACAAATCTTGAAATATCAAACCAATATACCAAACAGAACACGCAGCAACTCCCCTATGCCGTCAAGACGAGATGTAAAGAATCCTCTACAATAAATTTCCAAAGTGCTCCAGAATCGAGATCATGGACTTTCAAGTTCACAGCCCCAACGCACCAGAGGATTGGCGTGCGGGTGCCGAGAAAGCCCAAGTTTGCAAGAGAGCTGAAGGGTTTCCCGAGGCGATGGGGAAGTATTATGAGAATAGGACATCTGGAGCTTTGACCTGACCAGGTCGGCTCGAATTCTGGAGATTGGACAGCTCTGGCGGTGCTTTGCACGAAACGCTGACCACCAAACGCCGAGGACAATATAAGCAGCACCCTGACCACTCGGTAGTTTCAAAGATATCGTGCTTGCAACTCAGCTCTTCGATTCTATCATCTCCTGTATTATCTTAGTCACACTGTTCATGAGGCCACTTCACTCTTCGGTCTGGCTCTCCGTGCTCCCTCTGTTGCGTTCCTGTCTCTATTAGGAGTGTGTACTTTGCTCACCGTCCTTTCTTCAGATCCAGGGCTCAGGCAGCTGACCTTGGCGGTCGTGGTCAGCATGACTGCCACCACCACCGGCAGGCAGGGCGTTCTCAAAATCCTCGTCGTCTGTGTGCCCGCGCGTGGCCCTGAAAACCACCAACAGCCCCCTCAGTAATATACGCACATGTTGTTTCCAGTTCTGTAGCGTCGTGTTCTTTGGTTGTCTCTTTGGCGAATTCGTTAATGCATATGAATTGAGGGGTGTACCTAAGGCGAGACGACATACGAAACTTGTACGGAAATCTTAGTCAAAAATATCGTCCAGTCGCTGTGGTAAAGCATGTGGTGATAACAGGCTGCCTCGCTTTGCAGGGAGGCAAGTTGCAACATTCGAACAACCCCCACTTTAACTGCAATGACTGGCCCAGCCCGACGTCACCGTTTGTACTTTGTACCTCGACGCGTCTGCCATCGAATTGGTCCACATGCACCTTAGATCAAATATATGTACAAACCAGACACTACCATTCCACACAGAATTATTTGTACAAGCATTAGTGCACTGAGCGTATTTATTTGTCGTCTCATTTTATAGATAAGACTCTTTTTTCTTTACCATGTCCTTTGACGAATGAGTATACCTAGTCATTTATGTCCTCTCCTGCTGTGCTCGACGCAGACGCGTCGCGTCCACGGTCTGGAATATTGACACCCAGCTCTGACGGGAGCTTGAACCGCCGGCGCCTCAGTTCGCCAGATGGAGGTACAAATAGACGGGCAGATGCGGCGGCAATGGACCACCTCCTCAAGCCTTCCATTACAGTCAAGGTTGGAGAGCCTCGCGACATCTAAACTCTGTCTTCACTGGACCTTGCTAACGAGCGTACATAGCCGCATCCGCCAAATCTGCATATCCAACCCCGAGTCTTGTTACCATTGATGCTACTTCCCCGAGAGTACTTGCCTCTCGCCAGTCTCGATTTTTCCGCCCTCGATAATGAATTACCACGGACCCGTTTCGTGGAGTCTCATATCAAGATTCTAGATCTTGAAAGCCGCCTAGCGTCTTCAGCGAGCATTGTAATTGCAAGAAACGAGCCAAAACGCACAATATATGCCCTCGAGAGACAACCAAATGGTCTATACGTCATGTGCAAGCTGGGTTCATGGGTCGACCTTGGAGAACTGGCAAGGCGGGCAACAGCACTATGCCACCAACGTCTGGCTCCTGCCAGGCAGCACAGACACGATAGGGAAGATGACGCGCCATTGACGACACCCCACTTGCACAAGGAGCATAAGAAGAAGAGAGCTGCCATTGAGGCTATTCAAAGCCTCGTAAGGAAGAAATCAAAGCCTCAGGCGGTGCAGCAAGAGCATGGAAGCGACGAAAAAGGCGACGAAGTGGAGGTAGACATCCGGGCATCTCAACTGCCATCCCCGGAGATCAAATCCGACGAACAAAACAATGCTCAGAACTTAGTGAACGTACAGGATGCTTCAATGACGGGCCATTCTGTTGACGACGCGCCGCCAGCTTCGTCACAACAAACCGCAGAGGAAATATTTGACAACATTCGCACGCAATATTTTGAAGCATTGTACAGATCTATGGTATGCTTACCTCCCGACCTCCGCTACGGTTCAGTTACTGACGGATTTTAGGGCTCGTTGGCGTATTTTGCCAAAGGACCTCTTTCAAGAGCGCGATCCGCATTCCATCTGGATCTTGAGTCCAACCTGAACATGGTAGACTTGATCGACTTTTTGAAGAGCCTGATCCTTACGACGATGCAAATAGACAAAAAGTATCGCGAAACCATTCCAGAGATCATTGCCAAAATGCAGACTTTGATCGAGACTTCAGACGAAGGCCGTAAGAAGAAGCGCAAGCTTAGAAAAATGAAGCTTGGAAAGGATTCATTATATCCCATGGAAGACGAAAGCATCCACAAGTGGTGGAATGCGAACAAGCCGCAAACTAACGAGGAAGAAGCATCAATCTCGACAACACAACTCAAGTCGCATGTTTCAATGCTTCGGACCAGGGAGACTCAGCTTCAAATGATTCTGATTCTGGAGATTCTTGCCTTGGAACCGTTGAAAGCTGCGGATGAAGCTGCGGTTTTGAACCTACCCACCTTGCCAGGAGCAGACTCTCGACAAGAGCAGAATATGGCACCCCCGCCTAAGAAGCGGAACAAGCATAACTTACCCGTCTTGTTAGATGTACACGCGGACCGACTTACCATTTGGCAGTCCACTGCTTTTGATGAGCACCTCTTGTTGGCAGACTCTCAAGTTACACATACTTCGCCCGAGGGCCAGATTCAGCAGAAAGCCTCGTCGGAGCCATTGAGGGACTTTTGTGTGGATGTAATTGTACCCTTGTAAGTAGTCTTTTGTTCTCATTGAGGAGGTAGATGCTAAGCATTCCCTAGCTTTTCCGCCCGATTGCCAGAGCGATGCGATGCGATCAATCGCAAACTCGGCGGTCCGGTTATTGTGTCTCCCGTCAAATCCAAAGCACTGAAGCGATCCTCTAGCAAAAAGGAGCAAAAGCCAGGGGCTGCCACAAAGCGATCAGCTCCGCTTAATTCTAGGAGAACGCTGCAACGGGCTCTATCAACGGAGCAGCTACATCGGCGCAGCGTTTCCAGAGGTCCTAGCAACACGATTGCACTATTAAGATCTGCAACGTCAACATCTGTATCGGGAATAAAGCGCGAGGGAAGCGAGCCCTTGTCCTTGAAAGATCTACCCAGAGGAGACTCTCTGATGGGCAGATCAAGACAGCCTTCACTACCACGGAGTAACAGCACAAGTAACCTTGAAGAAATCAAAGCAAGTAGGAAGGCATTGGTGGAAGCAGAACTGAAGGATGCAATTTCTGCCCTGAGGAAACCGAATCGTGAGGTTGTTGGCAAGGCTATGGCAGAAGCAGACCAACACCGCGCCATAACTAGTCTGTCTGCAAAGAGTTAGTTCCCGATCCTACCTTTGTCGAAATCCATGGAAACTGACCTCCAAGTAGAAACAAAGAGGATGCCTAGGAGCACGTTGGCTTCTTCGATTCAAGTTAAGGCAACGCCAGCAAACAATCGCTTTAGAGACGTCCTCGCAATGAAACAAGAGTCGTTCGTTGACGTCTCTCTGGAAAGCATGGAGGAAGTCATACCTCCCTCGAGCGTTGACCATTTGGTTCCGTCCACAGGACACAGGCATGGTCACAGAGACGCTTTTGCGGATAGCGTCTCGCCTGGTATGGACCTTGTTGGTGGAACACCAGCTCGGCCCTCGCTGCAGGCCAGTTTTATTAGACGCATGGCCAGCGACGGGCTAGCGATTCCACCGTCATCTCCATTGTTTAGCAGAAACACAGCCATGGTGGATGAGTCCCCTAGGCCTCAAGGCTCAGCCGGAGATACCATAGGATTTCGATCTTTGACTAAACCGTCTAACGATGTCATGGCAACACCAGTCAGGAAGAATGTATCAAGACTAGATTTGATTCAAAGTCCAGTGCCTATGAAGGAATCTGACCAGCAGAGGACGGTGTCGATTTATGAGAAATTGGGTTGGGACGATGACTTTGATGACATTTGACGAGGTTTATAACAAGCATTTTAAGGCGTTGCATAGGGGGGCACACAATCGGGTACACATTTAGAAATGACGGGAGGGATGAGAATAAGAAGGACCAGGCATGAAGCATTGCATCATTGGAGTTATTGAAGAAAAACGGTTTATATTACATGGCTATTGATCATTTTAACTGCACTTTACATAGCATATATGAAGTTAGCAGAACAAGGACGTATACAATCATGAGTACTGTAGTATTTTACATTCCTATTCATGCAGCAGCGGGTTCTACTATCGTGGTAGGCAACTCCCGTATATCAACGTGCTCCTGAGACCCCAAGTCCACCACCCTCACTGCCTCGACACCCACAATGCCCTCGCGCAGGGCCAAGAACTGCAGCTCGACGACGTGGCATGCCCCAGGGGCCAGGGGTCCCACGCGCGTATCGGCACTGAGGCAAATCACGTCGGTTGCATCCATGGCAGAATTCTTCTGCAGAGCATGAAGAATGTTGACGTCCACCACGGCGTCGGCGATTTCCTTTTCGCCCCTCCGCCGAGTCGCCGTCGACGGCGGACGAGCAGGTCGGGTATCGTTGCGGCGACGCCTCGGCACCGCAACAAGAGCGAGTTTCCGCGGCGGGCGGCTCGTCTTGTCAGACGACCGGTTCACAACGTACACTGTCCACGAAAACACGTCCCCGGGGTGGACTGGCTGCGAAGGGCCGGTGAAGGACACGGTGATGCCGAGATCGGGGACTGCGGCTTCCGCGCGGGCGGAGGCTTCGAGGCCGGGCAGGGCGTCGGGGCGGGTGACGGATGGGGACTTTAGCGGCGTGACGGTCGCGTTGCTGCCGATGGACAGCTGCGAGGGCTTGTGGGCCCTTTGGATGCCGGATGAGTCAGCCATGTTGTTGAAGCTGGGGTTCACGGGGATGGTGAAGTCGAGGGCGGCGTTCCAGGCCATGGACAGCTTGGGGGTGCAGACGCCGGGGACGACTTGGGCGGTGGCGGTGACGGAAATGTCGAGCGATCCTGTAAAGTTCCTGGGCGCGTTGTCCGCCTGGTGCGGTTTGATGTGGTACAGGAACGTGACGTGGTCGTGGGACACGCAGCGGATGGGGAGCTTCATTAGCTCGTCGTCGTTGAGGCTCTGCACCGTGCCGTCGTTGGTGGCGAGGTTGATGTCGTCGAGGAGGACCTCGCATTCCGCGTGGGGCGTGAAGTCGACTTCGAGCATGGCGATGAGCGCAGAAGTCGACTGCGCCGTGTTTGGGCGAGAGAATCGTACCCGGGCGTGGATCGCGGGATGTACTGGTATTCTGAGGTGTGGTTGCGCGCGTAGGTGCGCGACCTGGTCTTGCCGTCTGCTGACGGGGGCGACTCTGGATACACGGAGGGCGGATAGGCGCGGTTTGATGCCGTTGAGGGCCGGGTCGGAGGAGAAGGATTCGAGAAGGTTGAAGCTGGATGGCATGCCGCTTTGGAGATATCCCGTGCCGCGGGTGCTGGCCTCGCCTCTGGCGTCGGGCTTGACGCTCGCGGATGCGGTGAAGACGACTGTTGGACGTTGTAGCCGTATTCTAGGCCGGCTTAAGAACACGGGCAGTTTCCACATGGCGTAGACGCTCTGAGAGGCGCCGTCTTCGGAATCCTCCTTCTCTTCGTCTACGATAATAAAGGGGTCAGTGACGTCTGGAACGCGTCCTTTGAATATCGGTTCAGACACCGGTTGTGAGCTCCGGTCTGCTGGGACGTTATTAACAATCTGGCCTTCAAGCGAGATGACGAGCCGTCTGATCTGTGCCTGCAGTTCATTCTCTTCCGACCATGGCATCTTGAGAATGAGAAGCACGTCAACCGTTTCATCTAGTCGGGACGTTGGTGAGCGAACTTGACAGGGAGCGAAGTGAGCTTTCGTTACCGAAAAAGAGCGATTCCCGTGGCTCTATTGATTCGAGAATTGGCTTCCCGGAGCCGGCATCTTTGAATGCATCGTCTAGATTGATGTTTGTCCGTGACGGCACCACGTATGTGAGATACGACTGCTCAAGGAAGTCCCCAACAGCAGTGGGAGCGTCGTTGGCAATGGTGGCCTTGTCAAGGCTCTCGCCAGGGTCAGCCATACTGTCAGAATGAGAATAGGTTTGCAATCGGCCAAGCATTCATGTTGCGCGGTCTTTATATCGCAAGTGCCATTTTTGACTATCCAGCAGAACCCGTCTCCTGGACAACATTTGAAGGCTGCATGTGGGATCTCACTTGATGTTGGCCGTGACGTTTGGCGGATTAAACGTGGCCCCGCTTAGTTGCATAGCAGCCTTTCCCATTGGCTCGTGCGTCAGAAACTGCAATCACCACCAACCTTTTCCCTCTTGTTCCATCATCAACCTCGACGACAAAGTTCTCTTTCGCCCGAGGCCCTGTCAATAACATCCGTCGACACCGTGCTGGCATTCGCGACTGAATATTCATTGTATTTGCACTGGTTATATATACTTTCTGGATGATTAGTATTGTGGCGACAGCGGCGCAATGAACGGGTACAGTGCTCAAGCTGCCTCGGCCTGGCAGGAGCATCACACTCCTGACGGCCGGGCCTATTACTACAATGGTGCAACCAAGGTGACTCAGTGGACTAAGCCTGAGGATCTTATGACGCCTGCAGAGGTATGTTGTATCATTATGCTGTCTTGCGTATTAATGCTAACCACAGTTGCCGCGCAGCGTGCTCTCTCAAGTCAACCATGGAAGGAATACACGGCAGAAGGCGGCCGAAAATATTGGTACAATACCGAAACAAAGCAAAGCTCGTGGGAGATGCCTGATGCCTATAGAAATGCGCTTGGACAAGGTGGTGGTCAGCCAGCCTATGCTCAGAACGGAGGTCACTCCCACGGCGGCTACGACCATCCCCGCGAAAGCCGAGATCACCGTGAATACTCCGGTCCTGATTCGCGCCAAGGAGGCTACGGTAACGATTCCAAGGCGCCGGCCTTCATTCCTGCCGCCAGTGACGAACCCGAGTACGCGTCCCCGGAAGAGGCAGAGGCTGCCTTCATGAAATTGCTGAAGCGCAGCGGCGTACAACCAGACTGGACCTGGAGCGATGCTATACGAGCCATCATTAAAGATCCGCAGTACCGATCAATCCGAGACCCAAAAGGCCGACGGGATGCATTCGACAAATACTGCCAGGATATGATTGTTCAGGATAAGGAGCGCGCGGAGGAACGCATGGCCAAACTTCGCGCCGACTTCGAGACCATGCTTAAGCGACACCCCGAGATCGTTCACTACACTCGCTGGAAGACAGCTCGGCCCATGATCGAGGGTGAGACGATCTTCCGCTCGACAAACAATGAAGAGGAACGCAGACAACTGTTTGAGGAATATGTTGTGGGGCTGAAGAAGGCTCACAAGGAGAAAGAGACAAAAGACCACCAGAATGCTCTTGAGGCGCTCAAAGATCTCCTTCCAAAGCTCAACATCAAGGCCTACACTCGGTGGAGTGAGGCTCAAGATATCATCTCTGCGGCGTTCCGAAACGACGAAAAATACCAGGCTCTCGCCAAATATGATACATTAATCACCTTCCAGGACCACATCAAATCTCTTGAGCGTGCTTTAAACGAGAAAAAGCAGCACGAGAAGAAGATGAAGTACCGAAGGGAGCGCAAAGCTCGAGATGCATTCAAGTCACTTCTCGCCGAGCTTCGACAAGACGGTATAATCAAACCCGGGGTCAAATGGAGCAACATTCATCAGAAACTGGAGCGAGACGAGCGATATACGAATATGCTGGGCCATGATGGTTCTACGCCGCAGGATCTTTTCTGGGATGTTGTCGAGGAAGAAGAGCGATCCCTTCGCGGACCCAGAAATGAAGTTCTAGATGTTCTTGAAGTAAGTATTGCCACATGGGCCGGGACACGTCATTGCATAGGTACGAACTAACGACCTCTCTAGGATAAACGGTTTGAGCTTACTCCAACGAGCGATCTCCAAGAGTTCCTGTCTATTATGAAGGATGATCGACGCACTGCTAACATTGACAATGACATCTTGCAACTGATTTTTGAACGGGTCAGTCTCCCATTGAGCATTTCCACCCGCTGCCGCCCAACTTCAAGCTAACATGGGTTATAGCTCCGCGAAAAACGCGTTGCCAAGCGGGACGATGACAAACAATCTGATCGGCAACAACGGCGCGCCGTTGAAGATCTACGAGCACTTTTGAAGCGTCTTGATCCACCCATTGTGCCGGGTGACACATTTGAAAAGGTACGACCTCGACTACTGAAATCAGAAGAGTTCCAGGCCGTCAATTCCGAAGACCTCCGAAGAGGCGCTTTTGATAAGCACATGAGGCGACTTCGAGAAAGGGAAGAGGATGACGCCGATCGTCGCCACAGACGAGGAAACCGTGTCTCTACTGAGCGCGAGACTTCCCGTCGTGAAAGAGACCGGTCTAGAGGTGAGAGATCTCAACGTGGTACCCGTCCTGTAAGGCGCAGTCGTAGCCCCGAGCAGGACCCGTATGAAGCCGATCGGCGGAAAGCCATCGCAGAAAGAGAACGAAACCATCGCAAGTCAACCATGGCAGAAAATCTTTTGGCCAGCGACCGGGGCGGCCGATTGTCTCCGCCCCCGCGACGAGAACGGGAGCGGGAGCGTGACAGAGATCGTCATGGTGAACGTGATCGTGAACGTGATCGTGAACGGGATCGCGACCGTGACTCTGGCCGCGACCGGGAAAGGGAACGAGACCGAGACCGAGACCGTGATCGTGATCTTGACCGGCCGCCCCGTTCACGACGTGATGACGACAGCCACTACGATCGTGAGCGAAGGGACAGGGAGGATGAGCGGGAGCGGCTGTACCGCCGTCGCATTGATCGAGGTTCGTATGATGAACTCCCCTATGGAGATGAGCGACCATCAGGTTCACGACGTCGGCGACAAGATGACGATGACGACACGTCGCGAAGAGACTCGAGAGACTCAAAGGTATGGACGGCTTCCTACAGCCACGGCGCAAATCCTTTCATGGTATTCGACTAACATCCCTTGCAGAGACTCAAGAGAGACCGATCACGCGAACGATCCCCGGCCCGTGAAGCGCACCCTCGTCCCAAGACTCCACCGGCTCCTGCCAAGGAGGTTATCAGAAGCGGTAGTGAGGAGGGTGAAATTGAAGAATAAGCCCGCGGTTTCTTCATATCCCCTTAATCTATATTGATCTCCTTACTTACTAGCACTTCTAGCCCAGATGGATATCAGCTTCACTCTCTGCCCAATTTCCTTGAGTCTCCTCTATGTATAGGCCATCTTGCAAGATGTATCAGCTTGCTGTACAGAAAGCGTCGGCTTTCCTTGTTATGGCCGTAGTTGAGTAGTAATAGTTTTTTTTCTAAAAAAAAAAGGCATATTTATCAATGGATCCAAGTGCTGTGCAGCAATACACATTGTCACCTGCGACACGAGCCATGTGTTGAGACAGATTTACTGGTTTTTTATTCAAATTGAAGTCAGAAAGTATGGGATCCAGATGTGCTTCCCGCGAGGCTAGGAAGTCGGACGACAGCCATCCTGCTTGCTCCATTGTCCCTCAATCTGCGAAAATCACCATGGCCTGATTTGTTCGTCCCCTACCCCCCCCCCCCCCCACTTTGTGCGTAGTCTCTACATATGCAGCAACGGTTGCACTCTGTCGGGAAATACTCGAGGACAAGACAAAAAAAAACACAATACAAGCAAATAACAAATCCACTCTTGAAATAAAAACATGTACAGGCCATTCAATCCGCAGGACCAGACAACAGGGGATAGACTGCCGTCGCCGTGGTTACTCGTCTGGTTCGTCGTCCTCGCTGGCGCTGCTCTCTAGCAGCGCCACATCTAGACCGTGCCCGCCGCTGCGCTCCGTAGAGGAAGCTGTCTTTTGAACGCCTTTAACGCCGGGGAATGCTTGGTGGAAAAACTGCTCGTTCTTGTTGCCCTTTTCAGGAGCTCTTGTCGGGGGTTTCCTCCAGGAAGAACTACGGAACGTTAGTGCACTATTCTGCAGGCATGAACAAGGGGGGGTTAACATGGAAAGACGTACGAAATTGCCGCCGAGTTTCTGTTCCTGGTCCAGCTGCGATCCGAGCTTGTTGATGCGAGGGCGGTAGTTGGTGGGGTCGCGGCGGAACGTCACGTCGAGGTTTTTCAGGAAGGTGTTGCAGCCGGTGAGGAGGGACTCGGGACGGTTGGCGTGGGCGTCGATTCCGGGCTTGCCGTCAAAGACGATGACGCGATCAGCAAGGTACGTAGCCATGATGAAATCGTGCTCGACGATGAAGGCGGTCTTTTTGGAGTGCATGATGAAGCGCTTGATGACGCGCGAGGCAATGATGCGCTGCTCGGAGTCGAGGTAGGCGGAGGGCTCGTCGATGAGGTAGATGTCTGCGGGCATGCCGAGCGACAGGACGATGGCGACACGCTGCAATTCACCACCGGACAGGTTCTTGACTTCCTGGTCGATGAAGTCATCGAGCTTGAGGGGCTTGACGACATCGGTCTGGAACTGAGGGTTCAGGAAGGCCTGCTTGATCTTCTTGAAGAAGAGCTGGCGGACGGTGCCGTCAAACTTTGGAGTGATGGTCTGGGGCTTCATGCTGATGCGCATATCGGGGACAGAGGCCTTGCTGTCGGGCTTGAGCGCTCCGGCTAGGAGGCGACAAAAGGTAGTCTTGCCCGTGCCGTTCTCCCCCATCATGACGATAATCTCGGAATCAGTGAACTCGCCAGCGTCAATGTTCAGTCTGAAGTTGCCGAGGTGCTTCTCTATCTTGGGGTATTGGAACGCACGGGACTTGTCAATGACGAAGTCGTCGGCGCTCTCGGCAAGACGGAAGGTGAGGGACTCGTCACGGAAGCGCAAGTTTTCGGTGGGAATGTGGCCGTCCAAGAAGATGTTGATGCCTTCTCGGACCGAGTGAGGCAGGGTAACGACACCGTAGACTGCGGGCTGGCCGTAGAGCACGCAAATGTAATCGGACAAGTAGTCGAGAACAGACAAGTCGTGTTCGACGACAATGACATAGTCATCGTCTCGGAGCAGAGATCGAATGATCTGGGCAGCGCTCAGACGCTGCTTGACATCGAGATACGAGGAGGGCTCGTCGAACATGTAGACGTCGGCCTTTTGCACACAGACGGTACCAATGGCGAATCGCTGCAGCTCACCACCAGACAGGAGAGTGATGTCACGATCCATGATGTGGTTAAGCTCAAGGATTTCGGTCACTTCTTCCATGTTGCCGAGGGAGGAGCGGCTTGAAATGAGAGCCTTGACGCTCTTCTCCGGGCCGCGGACAGCCTTGGGGATCTGATCGACATACTGAGGCTTGACAACGGCCTTGAGGTCGTCTTCCAGCAGCTTGGTAAAGTAGTCTGGGGTTTGTTAGATCAACGTAGCCATCATTGGCCTGGCCGCCTTGAACTTACTCTGCAGTTCAGAACCACGAAAGTGCTTGATGACATCCTCCCAGTCAGGGGGGTTATCGAATCGGCCCAAATTTGGCTTCAACTTGCCGCTGAGAATCTTCAACGCAGTGCTTTTGCCAATACCGTTGGTTCCCACGAGACCAAGAACCTGGCCAGGTCGCGGCATAGGAAGCCGGTGGAGTTTGAAGCTGTTGGGGCCATATCGATGGGTGACCTGGTTCTCGAGGTTCGTGGGCAGGTTGATGATGGTGATGGCATCGAAGGGGCACTTTTTCGGGCAGATACCGCAACCGATACAGAGACTCTCGGAGATGAATGCGAGACGAGACTCGGGAGTGACTTCGATACAAAGCTTGCCACTGCGAACAACAGGGCAAGACTTTTTGCACTCTTGACGGCACTTGCGAGGGCGACACTGAGTGAGGGGCGGTCAGTCGGCACGGCGGGGCACGAAGAGGCGGGGGAGACTGCGGGAAATCTTTGACGGGTTCGAACTAACCTTGTCACTGTTGACAATGGCGATACTGTCAGGTCATGGTTAGCCTCGGGTCTCAACTGAGCTTTGCAAAATATGGCCGTTGGGGTGTTTGCATACCGCGTCAGCTTGTCAGACATGGCGAAAGCGGCGTGAGGGTCACGGCTTTGACGGGCTTGATGGTGAGAAAAGTCTAGGGTAAATGAAAAGTTTGGAGGGGCACACAAAACAGCGGCCAGAAAATTGGTGGAGCCAGAGCAGGCGAATGAAGCTGATTTGGAATGAGAAAAGGCCGCTCGCGTGCAGAGTAGCCAGGCACGCGGTGCTCTTGGACCAATATGTTGTGGGAGAAAGAAATGGGAGGACTAAAATTGGACTGGAGATAAAATGGAGTCAAAAATATTCAGGTGGCGTAGTTTCTTGGTAGTGCACACACACAATGCCAGCTTGTTTGAGAGTGTGTGGTCATCAATTTTTCTCGCCTTGTGAATCGTCGAGCTTTGGCGGGGCAGGGCATCAGCAGCAAAGAAGAACACATGGTATATGGCGGGGTCAAGTGGCATGTTGGGGAGTCATGATTGGAAGATGGCAAAAGTTAATGCATAGGTTTCTCGGCAGAGTAGATTGGTGCCAGAATACTCGAGGCAAACCAGGGGCCATCAAGGGTAGGTAGGTACTTGCACCACCAAGTCCAGTGCTCATTGTTTTGCATCCCCTTTCAATGTTCAGTCCAAAAATTTTCCAAAACCAAGTTTCAAGAATTTCGAGCACAAAGCCCAGAAAATGGTTACAATGAGAAAGAGCACGCAGGGAAGCCGATGGTCTTGTGTGGTATTGACATGTATGTATGGTTGACAGGCCTCTCCTTTGTCGGGTCGAGGCTGACCCGGTCTAAAAATCTCTATACAGTAGTCTAAGTTGCCCAACATCTACAACAGTGGAAATATACCCAAATGCACAAAATGAAATCCCTCTCAATGTGCCCTCGCTTGCTTGTTTGATGCTTGGTAAGATTCGCTTCATCAATGTTTTCACGTAGCACAAAACAGCACGCCGTCCCTTTAGTCTGGACCCTCAGCAGGGGATGGCCGTCGAATGCCCCCAAGTGCCGCCGCCGATCATCATCTCAACTAGTCAATCAGTCGGAACTCTGCTGGCGACACGCCGTCTGGTTCGCAGCTAGCGAGTTACCAATCCGCGCTGACGGGAGACGCCACTCACAAAGCGGCACGGGGTAAGCCGCAACGTCTGCCATCTCGCTAGCCCACGCTGTCAATTCATGTTGGCGCCACCTCTACCGTCCTCAGCCCGGGCCGCTGTCTCGCCAGAGCGTCTAGCAAAGCCGTCGGCGAAGCTAGTGAGTACGCTGGTGATGGCTACGATCTCACGGGTGAGCCAGGCAAACACTTGGCGCCCAACGCCAACCAGCTTCCTCGCATTCTCGAGCAGCGCTTCCTGGTCCTCTCGCTTCTTGCGAAAAAGCCTTATCATTATGTCGGCCATGACGATAGCCGCCGATACATTGAACGGGGTACAGATGACATGGCTGTTGGGATTGAAGGCGTAGCGGACAATGAAAAAGATGAAGCCCGACGAAAAGAGGTACACTCCAAGGACAATACTCAAAAGGGGTTCCGTTAGCTTTCAATATGTAGTACTAATGGGGGTCGTCGGATACTCACAGGGTGAAGTCATCTGGGGATTTGTCAAAGTTCCTGGCTGTGACATGGCCCAGTGTCAACAGCAACCAGGCAATGAGGCACCCAAGGTCGAAGATGTTAGGAAGGATTCTCTGGAATAGCAACCAATCAAGCCTCGACTTTTTGCTCTGTGAAATAGTCTAGCTTACATTAGCACCGCCCAATCTGGCGTCGCTGCTCCATTCCCGAGCTCGGAAGGGAGGGCTGGGAAGAGGATGATGGCGGCAGAGGCGACCATGAGGTTGGTGATGACGATTTGGTACACGGCCGTGTTAACATGCTTCGCCATGCTTGAACTGGTAGTTGCGAATTTGCACCCGGAAGCGAGACATGAGTGCAGATTAGAATAGGACGCCAATGAATAACATTAGGTGCTGCTTTTGGATATGAAGCCAAGTAATTTGCGCCGTCAAGTGTGGAGTATAGATCTGAACCCTGGAGGTTGGTTCACGATGGAGTGGGACGTCAATGCACGAAATCACGAAATCGTGGCTTTTGGGTTGGCCGTCTGAAGCCCCCAGCAGGTAGGGACGTGGAGGATGCTGGCTGCGCCTGAGAATAAAAGTGATGCTTGCCAAGGCAGATCGATATCTGGCGTATGTAGATGCCCCGTGGTGGGTTTCGATGGTGGTTCCTGGTGGCAGGCAATAATGGCCCTAGTAGAGGTCGGTAATAGTGCCAATGCTGGCCGAGGGCTTTCACTCAAGTCTGATTCTTAGACGGTGATGATGCCAGGAGCCAGAACGAGTACTCGGAGGCAGATCTCTTGCCGGGGACGGGGTCCAAGGACGTTTGCTGCTCACGACGATAGGTAAAGTCGAGGGGCCAAGACGGCTTCTGGACCCTTCAATGTTCATGTTTGCGGAGCGTGACACTAATATAGCAGTAGGTACATACATGTATTGATTGCTGACTCTGCCGAGCGCCCAATTCTAACGGAGCGTACATAGTAGCTTGCACAACAAATGGCACCGCCCGAACCAGAAAATTGACCTCCAGACTACCCCTCCCCCTCCATGATGTCTCCCCGCCTCAGTAGACCCGACGTCATTTTTAACTCAAACTACCAGACAGCTGGTTCTGCACAGCCACAAGTGCCACACCCACCACATGCAGCCACTTGCAGACCAGACTCTTGTGCCTGGCCCCAGCCAACATTGACCTCAAGTGAAAATACAGTGATTCAGCCCCTAATAGCGGCCGAGTTCCAGGGGACTGTAGTGTCTGGTCAATCTTCAATGTTGAGTCTGGTCAATATTTAGTACCCAAACTCTGCGAGTATGCACTTTCGTTTGCACTGAATATCACTTTGATACAAGTCCTATGTTTTCTTGGCTTGCTACTGGCCATTACTTCTCGTTAGTTACTACTGCGTTGTTGCATGTGGTCAATTGGGCGCTCAGGAGGCCTTGATACGATGTCAGACAAGTTGTGATGAAGCTGGGCTTGCTCAACCTCAGCAGCGTTGATGCAGGGTAGTCCTGCCTAAGAGACTGGTTTATATAGCACTTTTGTCTATGCAACTTAATTCCACCTCTCACACCGGATGACGCTGGGATCTAAGTCGACCTCACAGCGAAACCACTTGTCCCCAGCCAATCCCGTCGTCAATCTCGCCCTGGATTCCCAAGATGCTTTGTATCTGTCTGCCATGTAGGCACCCCTCATCCATGCAAGGCCGCTTTGCTGATCTCTCAGAACCATGGCCCGACATTTCTCGCCTCGGTCAAGTTCCCAATTCCCCCGATATCCACTGGAACCCGACCGAGAGCAAAACGAGGGCGCTGTATGTTATTGGCATAAAAACCAGGACGTACTCGGCCAGCGTGACCATCGGAGGCATCCACACCAATGCAGCAACGATGAGGGCCTGGCGCGAAAACCCTCTTCGAATCGTGAGCGCCCAGTGGATCATGCAAAAGATGACGAGGGAGAGCACACAGAGAACGACAGCCGTGTTTCTCGACAGAAGAGACTGGGAGTTGTGTCTTGACTGGCCAAAAGTCTATGCACACATCGCGTAGATTAGTCCCTGTGCCTGACGTCGGTACCGTGTGTTGCTTACTTTAATTGTGAGGGACATGGCCTTGCTGGGTCGCTCCGCGGCCGTAGAAAGAAAGAGGTTCGCCGTGACGAAGGACGAGACCAGGCTCGCGCCTGCAAGAAGGGGGACTGTCCACATTGAAGCTTCTTGTGTCATTTTTGTAGCCTGAAAAGAGAATTCTTGCTCTGAAGAGGATGGGGCTGGAGATTGTATCATGGAGACCACGGGGATGGTTATATGTGAAATGGGATGGTGTTGTTGCTCCAGACGTCCTTTCACGCCTGATGACGACATTGGGCAGTGAAACAAAGACAAGCAGGTGACACACTTTCTTTCATTGTTCCATGTCTCCTTAGACATGTCGGAGCTTATTTCTTTTCCTACCATTATTCACGTAAATGCTATTTTTATACCTGAGAATAAAAAGTATTATGACTTTTCATATTTTATAGTTGTAAATCTAAACGCGTGTACTCTCTTTGTAAATAAGGCACCCGCCTTCACTTGACACTCGACTGGCTTCATTATTCAATGTTTCTTTCTCTTCTGGGGATAATGCAGCCCAGGCCACGCCTTGTGTGACGAGGGCCCATATGGGGGGCTTGGGGCAAAACGCTTGGATTCAATAATAATATCGTAGCGTCTCAAAGGTCCTTGGTTTTCTAAAAGAATGAAAGAAACGCTCGTGCCCAGGGCCCTTACCCAGGCACGTCTTCTAGTTGTGTAACCAACAAGTCCCCGATCAGGGCCTCTTTGTTGGGCTTTCTCCGTGTAACACCTTGTCCAAGGCGATGCCCGGAACATGGCTTGTGAAAGAAAGCACTGAGCACCCAGGCGGGGTAGACCGTTGAAACGTCAGAGTCTCATGTTCAGTTATTGAATAGCCCTCGTTTCGGTCCTTCGGAAAACAATGACGGAGGCAGACCACGCTGATTGATGCATGACCTTGCTATTATCCAACAGGCCGATAAGAGCTTCCGCAAGATTGTCATATAGTGGGACTGTCACGAGTATTCAACGGCACCGACTTGACTTTCCGCTTGTATATCAGCTTAAGAACCAACGTGTTTGTTGGCATTAGGGTCTTATAAACCACCACCTAGGCCAGCGTGTTTAACGCATCGCGATGCGCTCCGTATGTACACTCTGGTGTTACTAGTGGTCTTGCATGACCATGTAGGCCTAAAATACATGTACATTTCCTATAGTTGGAAATGCTCCGTGCGGCGGCATAACAAAAGAGTCATGGACAAGATCAAGCCCCTACTACTCTCTGTAACATAACCCTTGCCCGCTCTACGCCCCCTTTCTCAGAAACAGCCTCGCCAAGCCAGCGATAATCTCCAGCTGGCTCATCCTATCCCCCTCGCTATGCTTGAGCTTCTCCGCCGCGGCGCCAAAGGTGTTCCACACCTCGATGTACTTGTTGTCCGTGTTGCGGCTGGTGCCAATCGACGCCAAGGCGTACTCCATCTGCCGCCGCTCGCAGATCCTGACCAGGTCGTCCCTGCCTATCGTGACCGTCTCGTCGAGCGGCCCCGTCTCGCCCGTGTACAGCACGCCGAGGCGGACGCACTCGACAACCAGGGCGGCCAGGCCGGCAGCGAGCGCCGTGGCCACGGAGCTGCCGGAATGGGGGGCGAACCTGCCAAACTGCTTGTCCGGGACGTCCTCGTACGCGCTGTCAACGACGACCTCGTGCCCGGGGAAGAGGAAGCTCAGCTCGTGGCCGTCGCCGACATTGTCCAGCGCGCTGCCCGTGGCCCTGGCGGCGCCGATGCGGAAGCTGTTGGGGTTGCTGCCGTGCGGGTACGTCAGGTCGGCCGACTTGCCCTGGTCGCTGGCGGCGCAAAACATGAGCGCGCCCTTGGTGTTGAGCGCGTTGTGGACGGCGTCGTCAAAGGCCTTTTTGCGTCCCGCCTCGGTGGGCGGCTTGACGGTCCACGACGCGGATATGATCTGGGCGCCCTGCTCGACGGCGTACTCGATGGCCTGCACGGCCGAGTCGGTGTTGATTTGCAGCTTGGCCGAGGCCTCGCCCGCAAACGTCGACAGCTTGATGACGTGGATGACGGCGCTGGGGCAGATGCGGTGGATGAGCCGCGCCATGAGGGTTCCGTGGCCCGACGACGAGTCCCAAAAGGGCGACACGCGCCACGACGACCCTTCCCGGTAGTGGTGGAAGCTCTTCCCGGGGAACTTCATGCCCTTGAGGTCCGGGTGCGTGATGTCGGCGCCGTCGTCGATGAGGGCCACCTTGACCGGGGCGAGGGCCGGATCGGCACTCTTGTCGTTGAGCGCGCGGATTTGCCTGAAGTGGGAGGCAAACTCCTCCATGCACTGCATCCACTTGTGCGGATCGACTGGTCGTTGTCGCCGGGGCTGGAGGTCCGATGGCTGGGTGAGAGATGGCAGAGGGCCGCCCGCGCCGAGCAGCTGTATATACACTTTTGGCTTGGCTTCCGTGGGCCACGACTCGCCGAGTCGCCTTTCGAATGCATCGAGGTTCTCACGGACTCTGGTTTCCGGCTCTAGACCCTGTGTACAAGTCGAATTAGCCGAGGTGTGTGGGATTCATTACCGGCACATGGTCAGTTACCTCGACTTGAACAATATATATCGTCTCCAATGTCGGTATCAGTGCCAGGCCCTCCTTCTCCGACCATGCCCGTAGCACGGTATTCCTCCCGCTCCAGTAGAGATGGACTTCCCTCAGGCACTGCCCAATGCGAGCCAGGGATACCGGGTCCAAGTCGGCCCTCCGCCAGTCCAGCATCTCAACATTCTACACCGTGTAAGCCCGGGACCGGCATCTTCACGTGGGCCTGTAAAGGGGGAGACTCACAAAAGGCTTCAGCGACTTCTCAATAGCCTGGTCACTGTGTGACGGGGTTTTGAGATCCTCCACAATGACCTGCCTGCGGCTTAGTATGCTGCACATGTTGTAGCGAGGTTGGGCGGACAGTACCTTGATGATGCGCTCGACGCCCTTTTGCGCCAGCCACTCAAAGAAGAAGACCATGTCCTGCAGGCGTCAGAAACCAGAATACAAGCGTTGAGCGGCATCGTTGACACGGTACTCACGGTCCGGCCTTGGCGGAGCACATGCCGACTATCCTCTCCCTTGTCCAGCGTACTCTGCGGAAATGCAACGTACTGCAGTGCACTGTCAAACTGGAGGTGCCCAAAGTGCTTTCTAAAGTCCGTCTTGGTGAGTTTCTTGGGCGGCCCAAAGTCAAACCACAATTCCTTGTCTATCGGCAACGGTGCTTAGAACAATCTTCCTCAAGCAATCCTGCTACGGGGGGGACAATGGCAAACCTTGTTCGTCCTGGACATGGAGACAGCGCGACGCACGCTCCGGCATTTGCGTACGCAGATAAAAAAGCTTGAGCAGCTGGGCAATCTGCCCGGCGGCCTGGTCCCGCTCCTCGTCCCTTTGCAGCGCGGCGTCGATTCCGTTCAACGGCGCATCGAGCGGCGACTCGTCCACCCCGGCAGCAGGCGGACATGGATGTTGCGTATTCAGAGACAAGCTCGGCGGTTTGCCGTCTGGAGGCGCCGCCGCGACCGGCATGGAGACTCGTCGCCTGAGGCCGGGGAGAGGCTCGGCCCTGTCTCTCGGGAGCGGCGGCCCCATGACCGTCTTGTCCGGCCTTTCGGGCGCCGCCGCCGCGCGGAGATCCGGCCTCGGGTTCGCGGCCGCCGACCTGCCGCCGTCCCTCACCTCCTTGCGCCCCCTGGCCGGGTTCTTCCTGGTCTCGGCCCGCCTCCGCGTGTACTCGTGGTACTGGTACACCGACATGGCGCGGCCAGAGTAGGCGGCCACCTCGACGTCGAGCGCGCCCGGCCCCCGGCGCAGCAGCTCGTCGACGATGCCGACCTGCACGCGGCAGCACCTCTCGTACTCGACGGCCACGTGGAGGGGGGTGCGGCCCTTGACGTCGACGGCGCTGAACATGCTCCGCGGCACGAAGCCGCACATGATCTTGACAATCTCCCCGCGCAGCGCCTCGCCGCTCATCGGGCACACCAGCGCCGTGTGCAAGCAGGTGCTGCCGCGGTCGTTGTCGAGGTCCTCGCACTCGCTGGCCAGCGCGGCGCCAAACTGCTGCCGCGTCTCGTCCTTCTGGTTCTTGCACGCCGCGTAGCTGAACCAGACGTTGCCCGCGGCGAGCGCCGTCGTCAGAGGCGTGCGCCGCGACCTGTCCATGGCGCCCATCAGGTGCGGCAGCTTGTTCATGGCCCGCGACATGAGCCACTGCAGGCTCACGAAGGGCTTGCGGTTGTAGTCGTACGAGGCCAGGTGGTGCAGGAAGTTGCGGCCGTCGTGCGTCGTCCTGGACCACTGCGGCGTGCGGTCGAGCACAAAGCGCGTGCGTTGTTCTCTTTCCTCGTCCCCGTCTTGGAACTTGGTCTGCGAGAGCCTCCTCGCGTCCTCCACGTCGTTTTCAAACTGTAGCCGCACCTGGTCCTCGTCGGTGGCGCCCTCGGACAATAGGTGAAACTCATCCTCATTGTCCAGCATCAGGTCCTCGTCGTCGAGCGTCATGGTGACGGCGAGACAATGGCCGAGGGAGAAGGCTCTGCGACGGTAATGTCTGTACGATGGCGCAGTCTATGACGGGATATGTCTGCCCACGGAGACGTATGCACCGAGATTTCCGTAGTATGTAATGGTGTAGGGCGCGATAGCCATGTACTTGATCTGGTCACATGCCTCTTGCTTCCCATTGCAGTCTCGAGGCTCGAATTGAAGCTCGAGTCGACGCAAAGGGGCTATCGTCCGGCGTCAGCCCTACGCCCGAGTATAGCGAGCTCAAATGAAAGCCAACCACCCGTTCGCCGGGGTACCCCTGCTATAGACTTGGTAGACGTAACCGAGTTTAGCTCAGGGATATACCCATGTCGTATTATGGAGGTGCCTGCTACTACCTCCGAGCTGCATCCTGGCCATGCCTCACAAGTACCGGCGACTTGCGGGACTGTGTGAATGCGGGAGCTGTTAGACCATCAGGAACAGTACTCATTGTAGGAGCCTGTCAAGTAACTAGGGGAAAGACCGCCATGACGTGTAAAATACAGTAAAAGGCAAAAAGTATTCGACCAGTTCAGGTAGGTACCTGGCTATCGCGCTCCATGCTATAACACATGAACTTCTTGCCAGCATAGCAGGGTATATTACTTGGCGGGCGAATATCCTGCCACAGACTGCAGCGAATTATCCCATCACGGGATATCAAAAGATACCAAACCCGCACCACCCACTTATGTACATCGCCAGCGGGTTCGGCCCGTTCTGACGCCCCCTTGTTCGCATCGCCCTGGGAAAAAGCCAGAATAGTAGTAATAGTACTGGTAGCTCATCACTAAGACCCTTTGCCTTCTGTAAACGGAGCTTCCGCCGCCATCCGGACTCTACATAGCGAATACAAGTCGACGCTGCGCAAATTCTCGACGCCGTAGCTCCTCCCCCGTTTCGGCTTCCCCGTCATCCCGGCATTGAAGAGCACCGGGTCGTCGAGCGGCACCTTGGAAAACTTCTTCTCCAGGCCCGACTTGAAGTCCACGTCGGCCTCGAGGGTAATCTTCGCGCGAAAGGGCTGGCCGTCCTCCCGGCGCAAAAGTACGGCGACCGTGACCGCGTCGGGGACGCCCGTCGCCCGGCGCCTGTTCTCCTGGAGATTCCACACCGCCGCCGTCGACTCGCCCGAGTTTCTGCCCGTCCCCAGGTTGATGCTCCCGGTGACAGTGGTGGCGTCGCTGACGTCTCTGCTAATTGTCTTCTCCAGCGTGGCCGACCCCCCGGCGTCGAGGAGGGACGCGCCCGAGACGCCCAGCTTGAGCTCGCCCCCGCTCTTGGTCGACTCATGGTCCGTTGTCGGCATCACGGTCCATCTCTCATCGGGGGCAATGGCGTCGACGGTGGGCGTGCCGTGGTGCGCGCTGGCGGCTAGGAACTCGACGTGGACGCGTGCTCGGATGACGCGCCGCGAGCTCTTCTGCGGGTCGAAGCGGAAGCGGAACACCAGGAGCGTGGCCTCGTCCCCGTCGTCGTCGTAGGTGCCGTGCCGAACCTCTAGCAGCTCGACGCGGCTGTGTATGTTGCCCCTCGTGCGCTCAATGACGTTGCGCCTTTCCCAGTCGTCGACTGAGGCATTCTCGGTGCGAAAGGTGTCGTCTTCGCCGGGCACGGCGTCGCCGAGGGGTACCTCGAGCGCGAGAAGGGGTTCCTCTTCGTCGCCCGGCGCGGTGGAAGGGACGTGTTTTTGTGCTTCTGCCATGGTGGAAGTATTTGACCGGAGCGGGTGCCTGACTGTTGCGTACCAACGATGATATCCTACGGTATATTAGTGTACTCGATATCTCGTGGTATGTTCGTGTCTACCTACTATCTTTCAGTTTATTCGTTTATACCTCCTAGTATGGGTAAATAAGTTGTGTCATAGCCTGTAGGCGGGAGGGGATACGGCCATGTCAAAGATTGAGATCTGATTCCCGCTCTACTACAGCAGAAGTGAGGAAGAGGGAAGACGTTCCAATTTATTACCACGCATAAGCATCGTGGTATTATTCTCGTCTACCACATGTTCTTCACCGTCCAGGTCACAGCGGGGAGGCCACGGCCAGGATACAGCTCGGAGGTAGCAGGTACCTTTACAGTAAGACAGGGTAATACCCCTGAGCTAAACGCGGTAAAGTCCAATAAATCCATAGCAGGGGTCATATCAAAGCGCAACCAATCTAAAGCTGGCCAGGCCCTGGCAGCGGGTGGCTGAGCGGGCGAGCTGCATCCATGGAACTTGGCACAGGGGCCCATCTTATGCGTGCCTAGGCGTCATCACCGAGCTTCTTTCTTTGATTTGGAGGTGCTTCGAGCGACGGCGGAAGGCAAAGAGTCAATATTTGACCACATCACGTTCGCTGTCGCACGACATGTACTATCAGGCGTTGTAAATGCGTACACTAACCGATAGGCAAATACATATCGTCGTATACCAAGGCTAGACGTGACTTGGCCATGTCTCTCAAGGCCGACACGCCGTCGGTCGACACACAACAACAGGCTCAGATTGAATCGACGTCGTCCGCCGTTGCTGATGCTGATGCGAATGCTTCACAGCCGGAACCTCATAGAAACGGCGTCGTGGTCCGTGATCCCGATCTTGACCCCAACGCAGCCATTGGCTTTGAGTGAGTTCATTAGAGAAACAGGCATATTGATTCAAGATAAGGCTGGTGCTAATAGTCCATTTCTCTAGTGTCGTTGGGGTCCACGGGCTCCATGGCCAGAGCTGGAATTCCTGGAAGGCCTCAGATCCGGGACCACAAGCCGGCACCTGGCTCGGTCACGACTGGGGAAACGTACCATGCAAGTCGGCAAGAGTTATTCTATATGGATATGACTCGGACGAGGATTCTGGCAATTGCTACACGTTACGGGGAGTGTATCACGAGGCCCATGCCCTCCTGGATCGGCTGTTGGAGCTTCGTTCGCCTAAAGTTTTGGTTTGTCTTGCGCACTGAGTGTACTTGACTGAGCAGTGACTGATGTGAATGAGTTGCCCTAGGATAAAAGGCGGCCCATCATCTTTGTATCTCATGACATGGGAGGGCTGATAGTAAAAGCTGTGAGTTGTCATGGAGCTGTGTCAAGCTCACCCCCCGGTTTTGAGAGCCTGTTTCAATGCGGACCATGGCTAATTCATAAAATAGGCCTTGAGTCTAGCTACAGACAGCAAAGAAAAGTATGCTGACATTTTGTATTCATGTCGTGCCATTGTACGTCACCCACCGTCGAGCCGCCTAGGGATTGTTGTCGTGTTCTCATATCCAAGTAATAGATCTTCATCGGTTACCCCCATAGGCCACTCTCGCCAGGTGATCTTGAGGAACAACTTTGTCGTCTCCTGTCCCTCAGAAGGGATCGCCATCGGCACGGAAACTCGATGCGGCTCGTCAAGAGCCTTGCTGAAACTATAACCCACGTCAACCATGCCTTTGTCCACACCAAGCTGCTGACCCAAGCAAAGATGGTAAACATGTACTCCACACACGAGGATGCGGCGAAAAGTGTAAGTGGACGAATGCCGTTGCGACAAGGAAATTCTGCGCCATCTTGCCCTTGTGTGTGCTAATATTTAGCCATTCAGGTCTTTGGCCAGTTCACCATGACAATAGGCATCCCGCAAGAGTACAGAGTGCCCAGCGGCGAAGCGCATATGGACCTAACCCGGTGTTCGGACAATGACTCCCACCCAATCAAGGGTTTGCCAGACCAAGACTGGCTAGGTATTTGCATCTGCTCAAGACTTGAAATCATGGGCTGACGAGGTATTATAGAGGGAGAGTACACACCCAGTCAAGTCAATATCCTGCGGAGGGTGGCAGATCAAGCACCGCTATGTTACCCGTCTCTAAATGAGGCGGCTGAAATGGACCAGTCGGCAGTTGATGGCGCGATCAAGCTAAAAGGGAACCATATACTGCATGTCCAGTGCTCCTCGGGTACAGTTATCGCTTCGGAAATGGTGCGAACCTATCTCAGGGACAGCTCTCAAATGATGCTTTACTTCCGCTTCGACGCCCACGATGTCCGATGCAACAGCTCGCAGGCGGCCCTGGCGTCATTCGTGGCCCAAATCATCTTCCAATGCCTCCAAACCCGGCGTCCTGCTATCCAGAGCATAATTGAAAATCTCGAAAGCACCAAAGCCTGGCCTACAGACGACTTGTTTGCTTATTGGCAGTACCTGAGAGTGTACGCAGGTGAGCTGATATCTCGGGACTACTTCCGTTCTTTTCCAGCATGCACCGAGTCTATTCATGTGTTGGAGTGTTTTGACGAGTGCAACGACTCACTGCTGTGGTTACTCTCGGAGCTCAAAGCCCATTTTTCAAGGACCGAGGACAATTTGAAACTCGTCATTACGACAACAAAAGGCACCCAAGGGGACTTGCAAATTGCTGAAGCACTCTCCCACTTCCCCCAAGACGCCGTTTCACGTATTGAATACTCGCTCCCTGATGCCGTCCCCGTTCAAGTTGGGTTCGAAACATCAATGCTTACCCAAGAAAACCCCAGATACGCCGCTGAGCATCTCCAGAGTGCTACCAAGTCATTGATTTCTCGCTTCTCAAATGACGAGTCTCTGTGCCGGCTCTTGATGGAGTGGCTCAGGTCAACACCGAACCCGTCCGACTCCGTCCCTAGGCTTCTGGGGAAATTAGAGACACCCAGACCGGAGCTCCTATTTGAGGCGGTCCTGTCGGAAATCCCGAGCGAACGCCGACCCTGGGCTCAGAAGCTGATTTCGTGGGTGCTGTCGGCTGTCAGACCATTAAGGACGGTTGAGTTCTGCGTCGTCTCAGATCTGTGTCTCGGCTCAGTAAAAAGGACTGCTGGTGACGCGGACCAAGGCAACACAACTGCTCACAACACTATTGCACACACCCTGCAATTGCTTGGTGGGATTCTTGTCGTAGTCCACGATGAGATTCAGTTCTGTCACTCGGCAATTCGTCCGTGGCTCGAGTCCAGTGAGCGCGACCAGCAACATCCGGGTCCCAATGGGTGGTATTTGCAGACGACAGAACGCGGCCGTCATTTGGACATTCTGCAGACTTGTTTGGCGCACTTACGCGGTGGCAATGACCAAACGGGGTCGGGTGCTTCACTACTACCATATGCGGTTGAGTTTTGGACCAGGCATTTGACACAGGCTGGCCCGCTGGATGATATCTTGGAAACAGTCTTCCATCATCCCCCGACCTTGAAACGATGGATCGACGCATATTCGGCGTTGCCGGCTTTCCATGAAAGAATTCCCTTGGGTAGCAGAACGCCTCTTCCGGTCGCAGCACACTTTGGACTTGATAACCTCGTCGCGTCTCTTTTGGAAGTGCACAAGGATGACGTTGAATTGCGTGGCCTGGCCTTGGTTGAGGCAGCGAGGCAAGATAGGCTCTCTACTCTTCGACTTATCCTCGATTCATGCCTGTCCGATCTGGATTTTGACGATGATTACTTGCATAGTGCCGTCAAAGTTGCGGCATTCAGTGGAAACCTAGATCTGTTCCCGGAGTTGGTGAATCACATTCCCAAACCACCCCATGACATTCCCAGGCGAAGGCCCAAAGAAGAATATACGACGACACAGCAAACAGAACAGTCTGCTAGCAGTAAAGATCATGCGACCAATATCCTAGACGGCGAAGGGCTTAATAACCAAGAGGTCACAATCCTCGTTGAAGGCAATGATCCGTTGCTTTGGTTGGCATTCCCACTGTGCCGTGCTTCCTCGCTGGGCATGGAAGATGTTGTCGCCAAACTCCTGGCCTTGGGATCAGATCCCAACCCTCCAAAAACATTGCTGTTCGACCATTTGGCACCGCTCCATCTTGCAGGTCGAGGCTGCCACGCCGGCGTTGCTAAACTATTAGTAGATGCAGGTGCAAGTTTGACCGCCAAGACAAAACTCGGCGAGACACCATTACATATTGCCGCCGCCTTCGGCTCACAGGATATAGTAAAGATGCTCTTGGATAATGGAGCTGCCGTTGATATCAAGGATAAATATGGGTTGACGCCTTTGCAATCTGCGTGTGAAAGGGGGCATTTCCTCGCAGCCGAAACTATTCTTAGGCACAGGAAAATGCAGGACTATCTACCTCCCGAGGCTGAAGACCAGCCCTTGGTATCGAGTGTACGAAGAGGGTATTACAAGACTGCCCAAGTTCTACTTCGTAATGGCGCTGATCCCAACGCCATCGACGGTGGCGGAACAGCACTGCTTCAGGCTGTTGCCGGTAAAAACTTGGACATGATCAAACTACTCGTAGATTTTGGTGCAGATGTCAACAAGGTAGAAGCTGTGAGGTGGCAGTTCCCACCACGTACGTTAGCACCAAATGTTTCCACGAAGCGCTACAATACTGACTCGTCCCAGTTTTCGTGGCAGCAAGCGACGATTATCTCGAGGCCGTCCGGTACCTGATCTCAAACAAGGCAGATGTCAACATGCGTGATGGGAATGGTAACAGCCCCCTCTGGATTGCTGCGCTTTACGGCTACACCGAAACTGTGCGAGTTCTTGCCGAGGCCAACGCAGGTGTCAACGATGTCTGTGGCGACGGCGAATGGCTGCCGCTGCATGCTGCCTACGAACACCCGGATACCACCAGTGCACTTGTTGACCTTGGCGCAGACACAACAAGGGAAACTGGACGAAACGGGACGCCGCTGGAGTATGCCATCAACTATGGTCAGGTCGAAACCTGCAAGGTGCTTCTCAACGAGCCCAAGGACAAGCCTGACCTCACACGCGGGTCGACCCAAGAGATGGTGGCATATGCCGTTGAAGAAGGCTACAGTGACGTGGTTTCATTGATGCTGGAGGCCGGAGTTGATGTGAATGCGGTAAATGAGGAAAACCGAACCCTCGTCAGCTGTGCCCTCGCTGCCGGGCACGAGGACATGGTCCGCACCATCTTGGAGTACCGTCCAGACCTGGACATTCGAGACGTGAATGAATGCACGGCGCTACACTGCATCACCCAGAAGACTACTGTCGGATCGGTTCGCCACGTTGTCAATGCCGGGTGCAAGTTGGACGGAATCGACAAGTACAAGTTGACACCTCTACTGTCCGCGATTGAGGCCGGAAATGACGAGGTTGTCGAGTATCTTCTCACCAAAAAGGCCATCACGGCTACTCTTTCCACCCCCGTGGAGAGATGGGGAGCACCCTTGCATGGGGCCTGCGAAGTTGGTACTCTGCGAATGGTCGAGTTGCTTCTCCAAAGTGGCTCGGACGTCAACTTTGATTGCCGAAACGCCAATGGCACGCCCCTAATGGCAACCAGCGGCCGCACCCATCGCGAAGACGATGCAGACAAAGAGAAGATATTCAGACTTCTCCTCGAAAAGGGCGCCGACCCTACTCTCCGTGGGGGCTTTTCAAGCTATCCAATCATCTCTGCCAGTCTGGGATGCAAGAGCAGCATCGTAAAGAGCCTCCTCGATCGCAAGGTATCCGTCGATGTGCAGGATTCCTGCGGCAGGAAACCGGCGCACGTTGCCTGCTACAACTCCCTCGAGGTTCTTACTCTGCTCCGGGTCCCGGACTCGGATTTCGCCATCAAAGACGCCGTTGGCCGAGTGCCCCTCCATTATGCCGTTCTCAGCGGACAAGTCGACCTGCTGAAGGAAGTTCTTGCGCGCTCTATGCGGGTCGGTGTTGACGTCAACGTCAGGGACAAGGACGGCTGGACACCCCTTCTCTGGGCGGCGCGTGCTGCGAACATTGTGGTATGGGAAGATAGGCGAGCGGCACACCACGATGAAACAGTCACTTTCCTGCTTGACAATGGCGCAGACCCGTGTGTTTCTGGTCGAGGACCCTTGGGCGACTGGACTGCCCTGGAAGTTGCCCAGTATCATAATTATGATAGGTTCGTTTGTTGCAAGCCTTGTAGCCAGGCCCCATCCCGATTTTCCATAGTCGTTTGCTGACGCGCCCTTTGCTCGGTGATTAGTATTCCTGGCCTTGCGGAGGCGAATGTCTCGTCGCGAAGGCCATCTTCGAGGCGGAAAAGGAGGGGAAGGCGGGTGGAGAGATGGTTCTGTGATTGTTGCGAAGTCGAGCTGTGGGGAGTCTACTTTACATGCACAGACTGCTACAACTACACGTTATGCTTCAAGTGCTATAAACACAGCTCCATCGTGCACCCTGGTCATGGGTTTAGGGACTCTGGGGACGACTTTGACGTGGAGGAAGATGCGGCTGAGAAGACGGAGTCGGGGCCAGCTGGGCCTGTCAACGGGGATGCTGTGCTAGTCGAGGAAGAGGGTCCGGTATATGACTTTGATCAGGAGATTGTGGGCGATGATGGTTCGATGTGAGACTGGGAGGTCTTTGAATAGTAAAGTTCGTTATGTAGGACTATTTGCTGCGCAACTGGGTACATCGAAAAGATTGCTTATGATGAGGGAAGCCATGAGGCCGAGTGAGGCCGAGCAGAGAAAAATCACGTTGAACAATCGCATCCCGCAGGCTTTCAGGAAGCAGTGATGAGATGGTGACATAGTGGCGAACTGTGAATATAGGTTGTGATGTGTGCGTACAGTTTTGTCGTCACAATTTCACGGTTCAATGTTTGAAGACGACCAGCTTTCGCAGTGTCACGTGAGACAGTTGGCAACCAGTGGCGGGACCGGAGCCAGCTGCCCGGTCCAGGCCTTGAATTAGCTCACGTTAGCCCAATTGTCCGGTCTCCGGCAAACTGCTGGGTGCCTCATACCCTGCCACCTCGCTGTACCTCTCCGTCGCGGTAGCCACCCGAAAACCACCAGTTGACCCGGCCCGGATCAACCATGCCACACCACAATTAACTCATTCCCCCCACCTTCCATGGTCCTCACCTCTTCCGTCCTTGCAGCCCTCAGCACTGCATCACCACCACCATCATCATTAACCTCCTCGCCAGTGTTTCTGACTCGCCTCTCTGGCTCTGCGTATCATCATCAACCTGTGTCTGCGTCGCGGCGCCAACCGCCCATTGCCAGCGATCCAGTCATCTTCCAGCTAGTCCCCGCCCCGCCATGGCCCCTCGAGGAGGCTTCGAGGACGAAGAGCTCACCATCTCCCTCTCCTCATCCCACGTCCGGCGCCAGCAGCAGCAGCAGCAACAACCGCCTCAGCATCACCCCCGGCACCAGGGTCGCGACGATGCCACCAGGTCCCCCAAGCCGAGCGCCGGCCGCCAAAACGCCATGGAGTCGTTGCGGGACAAGACCAAAACCGAACAGCGCATCGGCGCCTATAAGATTGTGCGAACCTTGGGCGAGGGATCTTTTGGTAAAGTGAGGCTGGCCATCCACCAACTCACCGGACAGCAAGTTGCTCTCAAAATTATCGCTCGTAAAAAACTCATCAGTCGGGACATGGCTGGCCGTGTCGAACGGGAGATTGAGTACTTGCAGCTCCTGCGGCACCCCCACATTATCAAACTGTACGTGATGCTTTGATGCTCCTCTTTATATTTTTCGCCATACGTGGACAAAAATGACAGCGTGGTTGACTGACACTGCACAGATATACCGTTATCAAAACCCACAACGAAATCATCATGGTGCTTGAGTATGCAGGCGGAGAGCTGTTTGATTACATCGTGCAAAACGGCCGTATGAAGGAAGCCGAGGCACGGCGCTTCTTTCAGCAGATGCTATGTGCTGTCGAGTACTGTCACCGCCACAAGATTGTCCATCGCGATTTGAAACCGGAGAACTTGCTGTTGGACGATAATCTGAACGTCAAGATTGCCGATTTCGGCTTGAGCAATATCATGACGGACGGGAATTTCCTCAAGACGAGTTGCGGAAGCCCCAACTACGCTGCGCCTGAAGTTATTGGCGGAAAGTTGTACGCCGGTCCCGAGGTCGATGTATGGAGTTGCGGTGTGATTTTATACGTTCTTCTGGTTGGACGATTGCCGTTTGACGACGAGCATATTCCCAGCCTGTTTGCCAAGATTGCCCGAGGCACTTACAGCATCCCCCAGTGGATGCCGTCAGGGGCGGCCAACCTGATCAAGAAGATGCTTGTTGTCAACCCTGTGCAAAGAGCTACTATTGAGGAAATTAGGCAGGATCCATGGTTCCTGACGGACCTGCCGGCTTACCTCCAGATGCCTGTGGAAGAGTTTTTCAACACTGGCGTCGACCCCAACAAAGCCATTCAAACTAGGGACATAGCCCCGAATGCCCCTGTTCAGGTGCAAGAGAAGCTGCACAATGAAGTTACGGAGAAGATTAGTAAAACTATGGGTTACGGCAAGTTGGATGTTGAAGAAGCCTTGCAGTCCGAGGAGCCTTCCGCTATCAAGGATGCTTACATGATTGTGAGGGAAAACAAGCTCATGCAAGTCAATCGTAAGTCTGTTCCTGAGCTATCGCATGCCCATGCTGCGTGAAAGTGCTGACTGTGATTGCAGAAGGCCAAGAGCCACTGACGCCAGAAGTTGAGGAATCATCATCGAGCCCGATGATGAGCATGTCCTCTGCTAGATCTGGCGCGTCGGGCGGAATCTCACCTCGACCATATGCCAGCAAGGTTGGTATTCTACCGACAAGCTTGCCGACATATCACAAAGACTTCATTGAGAGGCTAAAGGCGGGGCTTAATTCCCAGCCGCCTCAGGTTTCTGCAGTCCATGATGAGCCACCCACAGCGAGAACAGACGCGGAGAAGGAGGAAGCGGCCAGACGACTCAAGCCACACGCACGGGTTCAAATGCGGCTCGAGGAAGGTAGCAAGCGCCCGCAAGGCATGACACCAATCAATCCACCCAAAAAACCGAAGCCGGTTCGATGGCAGTTTGGTATTCGATCTAGGAATGCGCCGTGGGAGGCCTTGCTCTGCATCCACAAGGCACTGCATAAGTTGGGTGCTAAGTATATTCCGGACGAGGAATATTCTCAGGTGCATAGCAAGGATAGCGAGGCGCCAAGCGGAGACGGCAGCTTTGCGGACGAGTACGACGGCACACCACTGCAACGGGATTCAAGCTCGAGTCTGGACCCGGCCAAGCGGTACCAGCTTCCAGCTGATCCATGGCACATCAAAGTGCGGTGGGAGTCTTCCAGTAAGCCGACCGCCTTTTTTTTTTCCCTTGTTGTTTGTGAGGATGGATGAGGGCTAACTCGTTTTCTTGCTTGCAGCACTCAAAAAGCATGTCCAGACGCCGCCCGAAGGCGTCGACAAGGTGCAGGTTGGCACGCCAGACAGTTACCACATTCTGGCACAGGACAATCCGAACAAGAAGGAGTTTGTAGCCCTACACTTGGATATTCAAATATATGAGATGGAGCAAGGGGTGTACTTGGTAGACTTTAAGTCTTCAGGTTACGAGACGCCTGAAGGCAGGCTACTTGAAGAAAAGGAGGTGACGAGCCCGTTTCCGTTCCTCGACATGGCAGCAAGGTTGATAATGCAGTTGGCCGAGGCAGACTAATGAGGAGGGACATGGAGGTAGAAGGCGGATTTTGGCGGTGGTTAGAGGAGCTGAAATGTGATGACTGATGAAATTTTCGCCGCTGTAGCAGAGTGCGAGCCCTGGTTTATTTTATTTTATTTTTCTTGGGAGTACGGAGTCTGTACAGACAGCTTGCCCCAGCGTTGGCGAGTGTAGGCAGGGCAGTCAGCGGGTATTACTATAGAATCGGACGGTCATTATACCCGCATTGGTGCGATGCTGCCGAACAGCGGTGGACATGGAACACACGTCGGTTGTGTACTTGAATAACTACATTTCTCTACCATGCTGCTGCTACCAAGGGATTTTGATTTGTGACAGCTACAAAAAAAGATGTATCATCATTAACGGCAGGCAATCGAAGGGTCAATGACTGCGGGATGAAAACGATGCCCCGCCCCCACGAAGTCGAAACAATTTCTCTACATACACGAACCCTGTTTTTCTTTTCTTTTCCGGCATAAAAAAAAAAGGACTTGTTAGGAAATGTACACGCTTCAGATGCCCACATGCACCTCAGTGGAACTGGTCCTCGGTGACGCCCTTGCCCATGGCGGCCGTGGAGCTCACGCCGCCGGTGACCATCTTCTGCAGCTCGTCGACGTACGAGGCGCCGCTCCACTTCTGGTGCTTGACGACGTCGACGCCGCCGTCCATCTCGGGCTCCTGGACGAGCTCGCCGTAGGCGCGCATGCCGTGGGCGGCGTAGGCGCGTGCGAACTGGTCGCTGATGAGGGCGGTGGTGTGCAGACCCGCGAGGGTGATGAACTGCCAGCAGTAGCCGAGCTGGGCCAGGCGGCGGATGTACGTCTCCTGGTCGGCGCGCGGCATGGCGGCCTTCCAGTTGAAGCTGGGGCTGAGGTTGTAGGCGAGCTTCTGCTCGGGGCGGGCGGCGTGCACGCCGTCGGCGAACTCCTTGGCCTGCGCGAAGTCGGGCAGCTTGCTCTCCATCCAGACGGCGTCGCAGAAGGGCCCGTAGGCGACGGCGCGGGCGACGGCGCACGCGCACCCGCCCCGGAGGCGGTGGTAGCCCTCGCGCGTGCGCGGCGCGTCCCAGTCGAAGAAGACGTCGGCGCCGAGGAGGCCGCGGGCCACGGCGCGCGCCTCGCCGTTGGACTTGCCGCGCGCCTGGGCGAGGTACTGCCGCTCGAGGCCGGTCTTGTCGGGGGAGGCGGAGGCCGCGATGGCCGCGAGCACCGCCTCGTCGAAGCGCATCAGCTTGGCGGCCGCGAGCCACTCGTCCTCGATCTGCTGCAGGGCGTCGCCGGTCTTGCCGGCCTTTTCGGCCGCCGTCATGAGGTCGTTGAGCGGCTGGAGCGACGGGTTGGTCGAGCCGAGGATGAAGGCGTGGTCGCGGGGGTCGATGGTCGTGGTGATGAGCGTCGCGGCCTCGGCGTCGGTGCGCGCCACGGCAATCAGGTCCGTGCCTGGGAGGGGCTGTCAGCTACCTACGATGAGAAGAGGAAGAGGTTCTTTTTTCTTTGCCATTGTTTGGTCGTGGGGTGACTCTTTGTGAAGCACCGTCGGGGACTGGACTGGGGCAACATTCACATGCCAGCTCTATCCATGTATTCGCCGGCACATGACACGACAACGAGGGCGCATATTTAATAAAAAAAAGGACAACTCACCCATAATGTCGGCCTGCGCTCGAATCGCAACCAGCCGGCTAATGTGCTCGCTCGTCGGCACCAGCACCTTGCCCGCCATGTGGCCGCACTTCTTGGTGCCGGGCGCCTGGTCCTCGATGTGGATGCCGGCGGCGCCCTTCTCGACAAACAGCTTGGTGAGCTTCATGACGGCCGTCAGGCCGCCGTGGCCCGTGTCGGCGTCGGCGATAATGGGACGCAGGTAGTCGACGTTGGCCGCCTGGCCGCGCTGGGCCCGGGGCGTGCTGAGCCGCTCCTGGCGCTGCTTGCGGTCGTGGAAGAGCTGCGCCATGAACAGGTGGCCGACCTTGTTGGGAACCGTCGTCTGTACGCAGTCAGCATTGCCATTGGGGTCCGTCGTGGCCCGGGAAACCGTACGTATGGGTAGTCGGCCAGATCGGGACCGGGCTCGTCCGACGCCGACGCCGTCGAGGACGACTGCCAGCCCGAGACGTAGACGGTGTCGAGGTACTTGGCCATCTGGGTGACCATGGTGGGCTCCAAGCAGCCGTACGTGTACGAGGCGTCCTTGTTCTGCGGTTGTCTCGTCTGTCAGCCTTCTTGTCAAGTTTGCTTTGCCGGGCATCCCTCGGCTCGTGTGTGTGATCATTGATGTCTGACCTTGAACCGGTCCTCGAGAATCTTCCACAGCTTCTTGGCCTGTGTGTTGCTGGGGTACTCAATCTTCAGGTGGCCTCTCTTGGAGACAATCTGCTCCGCGGTGAACGGCCGCTTGGTATATCGCCAGCGCGAGTCGGCCCACCAGCTCTTGACCTGCGCGACCTCCTTGGCGAAGAGCTCGTCTTCCACGTCTGCGTTGACGGCGGGGTTGACCATGTTGTTGGCGGCCATGATTGCGGCTGTCTGCTTTTCACGTTTCCTTTTGTTCTTGCCCGTTGGATCAAGGCTGTGTTGTCAAGATGCGAATCTAGGGATCCGGCAAAGGAGATTCACCTAGATGAGTCGAGGATATAGGGGTTTGGAGGGGATAGGGGAAAAGCAAAAAAATAAAGAAAACCAGCCGTTTTGGAGGCACGAGAGGCAAAGTTAAGAGTCACCGCTCGGCATGTCCCAAGGTCTGCATATGACTTACACCTCGGAACTTGGCCGCCCCACGAGCTTGCTGGGCGAGTTTTGGCAGGACAGTGTGGTTGCGCCCGTGGCTCGGGATAGTCCGGACAGTGTGTGTCGGAGTCCGCACGAAGATCGAGAACATGCTCCTTGTGGCGCATACCATCCGTTTGAATCTCTGACGTCCTCTGCTCTGATCGGAACCGGCATGGGGGCGTGTCTGGCGCTCGGCTCAAAGGCTCGAATGCTTTGGTGACGGCACGGCGCCGTGGCCAATCAGAGCCGTGGCAATAATACCCGCCATTGGCCGAGGTTGGCCACGGAGCGATGTGGTTCTTGGTGGCCCGGAACGGTCCCCGCGTGTTCTTGTCCAAGCGTTGCATTACTTGTGTGTGCCATGAGGTGTAAAAAAAAAAGTCATCAAAAAAACACAGGCAGCTCCATCTCTACACCAATGGTTTGCCTCGCGAAGCAATCGCGCACATTGCCTCTCAAGTCAGTCCACGCTGAAGAATAAACTGCTTCGTGGTGCATCTCGGCACAAGAGCGCCCCACACCGTGCATCTGCTTTCCCTCCTTCCCCCACACCACTACAACGCCAGGCACTCATTGGACGGCGCCCCATATTGCACGCCACGACGCCCCCCGGATCCAGCCCCTCCATTCCGGCGCACCGGAAGTCCTGACATGTGAACGAATCGGCACCGGCACGGCCAGTCATGGTCGCCTCGTCGCCATGTGTGTGCCATTCATCTGCTGAATCAAGGCGGCCATGCAACTCGACTGGATTTGCCCGTGATATCCGTTTTATCCACTGCATTCACGTTGCACCTCACAGTGCCAGACCTGACGCTTCTTGGCACAAGCCCTCGCATGACGGTCCTTTGCAGCCCGTACTTAATATACCCATTTCACTTGTTGGCAGTTTGGACAAAATATTGTTAATGGCCTGGCATGTTTTCTTCTGGCTGAAACGGGCATTACCGACCACGGACCACGGAGGACAGAGGACAAAACAACGGCCGGACGGGGCCCTTGATGGACTTGACGCTTCACTCCTCTGACCAAGAATAGTGTCTTGGCTGACATGTCCGGAGCCCAATATTGACAGACGGCTGTCACATGATGCCCCTTGCTTGACCATTGTGCCACAGACGTCCAGGGACCTTTGTCATGTGCTGCTGACTCTTGTTCTGCAGCCCATTCCTTCGACTTCGATTCGATACCAACTCTGAAAGATACGCTGCACGCTTCATTAACAGTGCAATTAATTGGTACCTACTTTTGAACATACACACACACACGCTGTAGAAATGCCATTTCACGCTTTCTTTACCCGCCACCTTGAGCCGCTTCATGCCGCTACTACTCACGGCAAATCAGCCAATTCCTTCTCCAAACTCTGTTCAATCGCCTTGATAAACGTCGGATACGGTGTCAGGGTACCCAAGGCACGACGCATATGTGCATTTACAATCTGCAGACCATACACATAACTGGCATTAACCCAGCCAAACCTAGACTCATGTCAGCGTCGACCGTCGCAGCAAAGCCATCACGACGAGATAAAACCTACCCTTCTTTGGCAACACCTTTAAAGTCCAGCCCTTGGTTACCATACTCGGCATCCACGCGATGAGGATCAGCTGGTCGCGTCACGTCGTACTTTTCCACAACGACACCGTTGAAATCAACAAACGCCTTGGTAATCATAAACAGCCACTTGTAGGCCAGACGCTCAGCCTCTTCTGTGAAGCTATACCGGAGCAGACCAGTCCAGGCAAGCATCTGCTGAGGAGCCCAGCCGTACGGGTAGTCCCATTGTCGGTTGGGGCGCTCAAGCCCGATGTCCCCGCGAGACTTCTCAGTGCCAGCCAACAGACCACCGTACGCTTCGAATCGCGGCAACCCCTTCCTAACCATGTCGGCGGCCTGCTTCGGCGTCGCGATGCCCGCCCATAGAGCCCAAAACGTGGTTGAGCTTTCATAGTTGCATCGCTCCCGCTTTGCCGTGTCGTAATCAAAAAAGACTCCCTGTTCTTCGTCCCACATCAGCTTGTCAACAGTGAGCTTGCGTCGCTTCGCGCGCCGATCCCAAGCTGCAGACGCCAGCACTTCCCCCGGCTGATACGGCGTCCTATCGCAGAACTCGCCCGGGATCACAAGCTTGTCGTCAAAAACGTTGCGGATTGTGCGCGCAATGTCGGTTTCGTATTTGAACAAGAGTGAGTTGAGATCAATAGTGGCAAGGTCGGCACAAATGCCTTCGAATCGATACGTAGTGTCATGCCCAGACTCTCGCACTGCTCGATCGTGCATAAAATAGTCATCCAATTCGGGCTCCTTGATCTCGCCGTAATTGTACGCGCGAACAAACTCCTTGAACTCCATATTGTGCTTCTTCACATACGGCTCCAGAATGTGCACAAAATGGCCAGCCTCCGTTTCCGGAGGCACACCCAGGCCCTCCGGCCGATATCTCGACAAACCAGTGACCGGGTCCAGCCGGGGCTCACAAGTCCAGACGCTGTGGTACTCCTTTATGGCAGCTAGTATCGACCGTCTAAGGAACTCCTTGGCATCCGGTTCATGCTTGATTTTCTCGTACACGCGCAATGCCATGTCGGTTAGGAATGGGGGCTGAGATCGGCCGAGATAGTACGAGCGGGTAGCATTGAGTATCTTTCCGTAGTGCTCAATGCAGAAACAAAAATTCAGCACCATTGACTTTGCCAAGTCAACCCTGTCGTTGACCAACAGGCCAAGTGACTCCATGTAGCTGTCCCAGCCGTATAATTCATTGAATCTCCCTCCAGGCACTACAAAGGGGAGGCCCTGTAGTGTTTTTCGACCCGTTTCAGGGTCCACGACTTGTTCGGTTTCGACCGCCAGCAAGCCGGGCTTCTCGTTCATGTCCCGGATCAACTCGGGCGTGATCTTTTCGGGGAGCTGCTGGACATCTAGACGAATCTCTGGCCGCTCCTCGGCAACTTGCTTGTAGTATTCATACTGCTCCGGGACTCCGGCAGGGACGTAAATTCGCGGTCGAGGATCATCCGTCCAATCCTTGGGGTCTCGCGCGGCTATTTCGATACTGGATGCATCGATACGTCTAGTCAGGCCATCCCAGAAGTGGTCACGGATCAGACGGGACAGACGATCGACTGGATTCTCGTTGAGCCGACCCTCATCGAGGACGATTTGTTTCCGCCCGTATTCTTTCGCCAAGGTCAATTCCTGCAGCAGATTGGAGAGCATATATGTGCCTCGGACTTCGAAACGATTGTGGCCGGCAGAAGCCGCGGTTCGTAGAGAGAGTACTTTGGGGCCTTCGTCCTCGATGGTAATTTGCATATTGCCATCGGTGTCTTCTTGGGCTTGCAAGCTTTCGAGAGTAGGGTCGACCTGGATGAGGAATCGGCGGCCCTGGGGCAGCGAACTCTCGTCTATTTCCAGAATTAGATATATCCATAGCGCTCGACAGGAAGAAAAGCCAAGAAGTCTTACCGTGGCTGCCCCTTCTGTATGGTTCACGCAGGCCGTTTCGTTCAAACTGCTTCATCAAGCTGTTCTATGCACAGTCAAATTTGTATCCTCGGCGTCGCAGACAAGTCGAGCAATACCTGGGAGTATGTACGTGTACGGGACCCAAATCGGTTTTGATGTCGCTCTTCAGAAGCATAGTATGTCTTTGCGTCGTCAAACACATTATAGTCCTCCGAGCCTCGCGCTCGGTGGTTTGTCGTTCCCGCCATGACTATGACGATGGCGCAGGCTGACGGACGAGAAGGTGGCCACAGACGACTGCCGTGCAGAAATGAAAGGAGGCTTGTAGCGACAGTGGCAGATGGGGGATGAATAAATAATCAAAAATGCAATAAAACCTAAAGTTGAACTATTCGGCAGGCTGGAAGGAACGGCGTTTGCGTCACGGGGACGATGGCGAGATGAGCTAGGATTAAGCTCCGTCGTCCAAAAAAAAAAAAAAAAGGCAAAAAGGTGTCGCCGACACAGAGGGGGACTGGCTGGGAGTGGGGACGTTGGAGGGGGCTTGCGGGTAGCTGACTGATGTCTAGTGTCAGATTCGTACTACGAAGGACTCAATCCCACGTCGTGGGGGCTCTTGCATGTTCCCGGGAGAGCCTCAATTGATGACAAGAGATGTCAGATGGATAGTTTGGAGAGGCAAAAAGCACGCGGACGGCTTTGTTCTTATCGGAAGACTTGCGGTTCCAGTTCCAAGGAGGGCGGTGACGATACCCTGCAGAGGCTGGCTGGGCCCCCACCCATTCAAATGTCAAGTTGATCTGGTAAAGTGGGCCGACCGTTGACCGGGGACCAGGATGGGGAGATGGGAGGCCAAAGGGTCTCGGCTCCGCACCGCATTCGGCACCTGGGCGTCGAATTTGATCAATGCCATTTCAGGGCATTCGGCTACAACTTCGCGATGAATGCATTCATCCAACGCTAGGACAACGAATTTCGTACCGAATACTAGGCCATCAAATTCTGATGGACTCGCATCATCACGCTTTCTTTGGTAATGTGTTGCCCTGTACAGCTGCCGACATCGGCGGCTCTCCACTTCCGAAGTTCTGCAGGTCACTCGAACTGCATCGGTACTCTGCGTCGTGGTTTCACAATGCCATCATTCAGACTATGACAAGGTCTCATTATGAGGGCTTGGAGCAATTTAGCTCAATTCAGCTAATAACAGTCTTTGGTATTAAAGATCCTTGTTTTCCTCAAGGCCTTGTTGACCAAAGACCTCTTTAAATACAAGAAGTGGGTGAGGGACTTTGCGTTACATAGTCCCGTGACTGTAGCCCTTGTGTACCAGGCGATTTCCGTGTAACACAGACGTACGTCCTTGAACATTCAAAATACGTGAAAAGCATTGTGTAAATAGTTCTAAGTATTTTTGTGAACCTGACTAATAAATGTGAAATGTCACATTATATATATCAAGCGTATTCCATGCATTTCCCACAAGATATTTTGCAAAAGCCCTGCTCTTTTAGTAAGCAGTAAATGCAAGCTAAAATGCAGTATCGAAGACGAAGAAGTCTGGTACTACTTCGAAACAATCAAAAACCAATTTTTAGTGGTATATGCCACACCAAGAGTGCCATCTCCTTGTCGACATTGCTCGATAATCTGTGTAGCCATCGGCAGTAAATCACTTTGTCTCACATTGACTACATCATGATTCTACCGAGTTATAAGTTACCAAGTCAATACACCAAGATACTTTATCGACTTTGGTTCATCTCATTCTCTGGTTTCAAACTTACCTTATTACAAATCCATATATGAGCTGTGCCTTTAAGAAATACGCCCCAGCACCCGGGATCAAAGTGCTTTTTAACATCGAGTCCGGGTTGCGTCATCATATATAGGTAGGCTTCATTGACTGCCTGGACAGCGTCACTATATTTGGCGTACGCATATTTCTCGAAGCTAGGCGAATGGCCGCAAGCCAGCTTATAGAAGGGGGGTTCCGCATCTAGGTCTCTCTCAATTCTAGATCCTTTAAGGGCAAATGCCGTGCGCTATTCAGGCTTGTTAGCAACAGAATCAATCTATGGGGGGGGGGGATGTAAACGCACATAGACCTGGAAGAGCAATAAAACAAGCAATGCAATTGAATTGCGGCCAGCCATGGTGAATAGGGTCGATACTTGGAAGCTCGGGCTCGATTTGTGTATGTAAGCGAGTGGTCAGCTGCCTTTGGAAATATGTAAAGGCTATATGTATAGCGTTACAGTTTGTCGACCAAAAGGCACGTCTAGTCTTCGTGTTTGGACCAGGGAGACTAAGTGCTGAGAAGGCAGCAGTACAATGAGCTTGCACCCGGGCAGTGAAGAATGAATAATAAAATGCAAAAAAAAAAAAAACACAGACAGGATAGAGACTACACGCCGCTTTATACTTGTGAAACTGGCTACAAGCACTCGTCTGTTGTGACGCCACCGCGCGACCTAGTCCCACAGAGGTCCCGGCATTCTCGTGATCTTCACGCACAGTCAGTTACCGTAGCTCCCACAATACAACATGTTGTTTTCATCTCGCCCGTGCCTCCGTTGCTCTGCTTGTACCGTTATTTGATCCATGTATACTCGAGTGTTTCATATGACACGTGCGAGTGGATAAATGCACCCAAACAACAGTTCAGTATTGATCCACCATCACGACGCCACCCTACTGTTTATATTTCAATTTGTACTCATTGGACTCCTGTCGCCCTGTCCCCTGTCCCGGCAACCATACAGGACCTCATCTCTCCACGTGCTTGGGTTAGTGCGGGCACTTATATTAAAGAAAAAGTTATTAATAGCTCTTTGCGTGTGCACGGTATGCTATTCATTGTGCAAGCGGATCAAAGAGTTTGTGATGGGCGCTCATCCCGCACGTGCCAGGGCATAGCTCTGCCAGTGCGCCACATTATGAAGAGGTCGGGATAGGCGAACCTTACAAGCAAAGGTCAAGTTGAGACATAACATCCCATCTCGTCTCCCACGATACCCTAGTCAGAAGGCATCGTCCACAGGGAATCCGGCCCGTCTTGGAAATCGCGATACTGAGCCTTCAAGCCCACCATTTACTTGAACTTGAACACTGCCATGGCCTTCTACCAGACCAGAAAAGATATCTATTCTACTTTTCTTCTGTTGGCAAAGCTCGATGGACCAAAATGCTTCGAGCTAGACTTGTGGTAGGTTCGTCAGGCTGCGTAGCAAGAGACTTCAAGTAGCTTTTGGATCTTTTGCATCATTGACATCTCTTGGGTCTTGCAGATGATTCGGGTCTGTTGGAATTTTGCCTGCAGGGCCTTGGCCTCCTTTCGTTCCACGTTGAGCTTTTTGTATTCCTCATACCACGCCTTCATCTGCGCATTCGTCCCTTGGATGCGTGTTTAGCTCCCGGTTATTTTACTTCACATAACCTAGACTAGACGAGTTGACGTCTTGAAATACACATGCGCCGGGTGGTAAGTTATTCTCTATCCCAGACTTCCCCAGGTGCCTCGTCTGCGGAAGTCGTCCTATAGATAAGCCAAGTGAGGATATTCCATGGATCTAGCCAGATTGCTGCCAGAGCTACCGCATTCATTGTCGTGGCGCCCTACTCTCAAGACTTGTACGACAGGCTCAAGCAGTGGGATAATCCTGTTGGGCATTCCGTGGAGTGGGTTGACGATGCCATAGCCAGCCTATAAGACGTCATTGGCGGGCTCTAACGCCATGTCATTTACAGCAACGAGCTCAAGTATAAAATCATCAAGGGCATAGGGGGCGCTTTGCAACCGTGGGAGACCACTTATTAAAAGCACGAGCGCCTAAACAGGGAGGCGGCCGCCGAGCTTAAAAAGATTGAGGATAAGGAGGCAGCGAGGGCGAAGAAGAAAGTCGAAAGGACCCTATCATCGTGTGTCTTAGTCCTGAGGTAAGAATTCACTTCGGCAAATAATTCCTGTAGATGGCGAAACGGGTGGTTTCCCGTCCTCCGACCACTGGCATTGGATACATTGCCTATGTTGAACTTGAATACAGAGTATTTTGAAAGTTTAAAGTCAAAGACCTCTTTCCATGCTGTCCTGGATCAATCCAATTTATCAGCAAGCAAAGTCTACTTCGGAGCTTCTATGAACTTAAATAGTAGCCTAAGCCGAAAGAGCTTTACCAGGTAACATGAGCATGGGCGTGGAAGATAGCACGGTGCAAGATCAAAACAAAGATATAAAGAACTTGAAGTGATTCTTATGGTGGCAATGGATCGGCCCTGGTTGGTATCCATCAATGCGCAAGAAAGGGTTGACACCCGGTTCTGTAACCTTGCCATCTACAAAAGCCATTCTCATCCCGTCGCGAGATGAAGGTCGCAACATTTCTTGCCGAAAATTGAAACCAATCGGTACTTTTATGAAGCCCAGGGGCATATTTATGCATATTCATGATGGTGGTTGGCTATTAACCATGAAGAGTCCTCTGATATATATGTACAGAGCGTAGCAGATTCTACTTAACTTATCTGTGTTTCGTGCGATATCGACTTTCACCAGACCACCATTTTCCAGCCCCTCAAAACAATTGCCTAGATGTAGCACATTGGGTAATCGGCAATGCTGCCAACGTAACTACATGATGCCGAGCTTGCTTTTATCGGAGGGGAGAGCGCAGGTACAAATCTGGCTGTATTAGCGGTTCTCGCGCCCCTGTGCTGCTCGGTTAATGAATGTTCCAGGCATCAACTCGAAGGATTACTTATCCATTACGGAATATTTTAAATGCACTGGCGTCCCGGTACTAGGCACCTTGACGAGTTTCCGACATTAGTGTTGGATGAAGAGTCTCTTACGCACTTCCGCAACGCATATTTGCCTGATTTAAAGCCAGAACAGGCAATGCGGCCAGAAATTTCTCCATTTCATGCCGACCGACGGGGTTTACGGCTCCTACTAACTTTGATAACCTGCGTGGCAGAAGATTGCCTATTAGAGGACTCAATCTTCATGGCCTGTAGATGGATGATGGCTGGAGGTCACGCGGTCCTTAAACTCTATTCTGGCAGTCCGCACGGATTTATTGTATTCACACTTGAGGAACAAGAGAACACCCGGATAGCTCTGAAACAAGTTGCCCAATTAAGCACCGTCGACGGAAGGCGAGGTCCTGGCGAACCGGAGGGACCTGGCTCGACCATGTTTGATACTTGATTGAGACCTCAGTCTGCATCGAACGCCCCTCAAAAGCAAAATCTCTACCGGTCAGCTTGGTCATGAGATGAGTAAAAAAATACAATATCCACGCTCCGACAGCCGGGGTATTGAAAGTAACCGTCGTCCGGAGTACAATGGCAGTGTAAGGGCGAGCTATAACTTATCATAATCGGGTTGTTCCAAGTAGAGTAATATTATGGGGCAAATGTGGAGAAATTAGATGTTGACATGTGGGGAGTGAGGGGAACAAGGTCCTTTAGGCCAATCCAAGAGCGCGGGTGATGCGGAGACGGCCCCACCTTTACCCTGGGGGGCGTGTAACCACGGCAAAGGCAAGCGTCATCCAAGTCGGCTCGAGACGATGCGAGCAACGTTCGCTTCTTCTGGCTGGTGGCGCGGGCCTCCAACATAATTTGAGTCGAAACCGACATGCTGGTTTCGGAACTTGGTATAAGAGCTCGATCGTCTTATACACCACGCACGGCTGCGAGCACGATACATTGAATTGGAACGAGACACAACGACCACCCTCTTTATAGGAAATCTTGACCCATTAATCTCTTTTCATGAACACTTTTGCGCACGATGAGCAGCATTCTTGATCAAACTCCTGTGGTGGAGGATCGCGATGCTACCGGTGGCATGGTCAAGGGCTCAACGGACCGCTACCAGATTGTTGAAAAGACACTGGGAGAGCCGCGTGATTTGCGAATTATCACTGTGGGTGCAGGTGCTTCAGGCTTAAATCTCGCCTACCAGATCGACAAGCACATGCAGCAAGTCACACACATCGTTTACGAGAAGAACCCCGAAGTGGGAGGCACGTGGTACGAGAACAAGTATCCCGGATGTGCTTGTGATGTCCCGTCTCACAATTATCAATTCACGTGGGAGCCCAATCCAGAATGGACCAATTTGTAGGAATTCTCAGCGGCTTAGTGCTATTATTATGAGCTTTAGACTCACACATCGCTAGTTACTCCTCTGCACCCGAGATCTTGGAGTATTTCAAAAGGCTGGCAACAAAGTACGAGCTATACCGATTCATTAAGCTCGGCCACAAGGTCATCCACGCCAGGTGGGATGGAGAGCAAGGGATTTGGAACGTCAAGATTGAGAATGTAAGCGACGGGTCTGTCATTGACGACTGGTGTCATTTCCTCATCAATGGCTCCGGAATTCTAAAGTAAGTCGATCGTCTGTGAGTAGGTGATCTCATCTGACCCATGGTAGCAATTGGAAGTGGCCAGACATCCCTGGACTCGACTCCTTTAGAGGCCGACTTCTTCACAGCGCGGCATGGGACCCATCGGCAGACTGGCGAGGAAAGTCTGTGGCCGTGCTTGGCTGTGGATCGTCTGGGATTCAGATTATTCCCACGATACAACCCGGTATTGCGAATTATTTCTACATTCTGTGGCGCTAAAGCATGGGGTCGATCGCTGACCGATCATTAGATGTCAAGAAGCTGATCACTTTTATCCGAACACCAACCTGGATCACCGCCGGCTTAGCCCAGAGCAAAGCAGGCCCAGGTGGAGCAAACTTTGCCTGTATAGCGATATAGTGCCCTAGCAAACCATGAGCATTCATTCGCTAATTCCAGGTATAGTCTCGGAGGAACAAAAGCAGACATTCAGAGGGGACCCGAAAGCCTACATGGGCTACCGTAAAGACATCGAATCGGAGCTCAACTCTCGATTTAAATTTGTCCGTGCTCGCTGTTCCCGCTCAAGTGGCTCGTCTTCAAAACTAACAGCCGCCTCAGATTATCAAGGATAGTCCAGAACAGGAGGAAGCAGTTAGATTCACCGTCAATGGGATGAAGGAAAAACTGGGAAAAGACTCCCCGCTACTGAAGCATATGCTACCAACCTTTGCCGTCGGCTGCCGACGTCCCACGCCAGGGAATGGATACCTGGAGGCGCTCACTAAAGAAAATGTTCGGGTGGTGACAGACGCCATCTCGGAAATTGTCCCAGAGGGCATCAAGACCTCCACCGGAGAGATCTTGAAAGTTGACATGTTAATATGTGCCACGGGGTTCGACATATCATTTTGCCCCAGATATCCAGTGATTGGAAAAGACGGCATTTCGCTTGGGGACCAGTGGAAAGACAAACCAGAGGCTTATTTGTCTCTCGCTGTTCCAAACTTTCCAAACCACTTTAGTACGTGTTCATACCATCTCTTTATTTGCCATCGTGGCCTTGCTAACCTCCGTTTGACGCATAGCGTTCCTTGGACCAAACGCCCCGATAGGACACGGATCCGTACTACCCATTGTAGAGCACGCTGCCAAGTACATCATTCAGATACTTCATAAATGCCAGACAGAAGGCATCAAATCCGTTGCCCCTAAACAGGAGGCGGTAGCGGATTTTTCTGAGCACATTGACATCTTCATGAAGCGCACTGCTTGGAGTACGCACTGTCGATCGTGGTTCAAGAATGGAAAAGTTGATGGGCCAGTCGTTGCCTTGCACCCGGGTAGCAGAATACACTGGTTCCATATGCTTGAGAAGCCGCGCTTCGAGGACTTTGACTGGCAGACCTTTGGTAAAAATCGCTTTGCCTATCTTGGAAACGGTTTCTCGACTAAAGAGAATCCCGGGCGCGATACTCCGTATTATTTTGATAATCCTTATGAAGGCTACAGGGGCATTACGTATTAAATAGTGTGCTATTTTAATAATATGGCGTCAGTTACACCGAGGTTCCTTTCCATGTGCTTTTTTGCGGTGCTTCGACCACGAATGTCGCTCCTCGACTTTCATGTCATGCTGAGATATGCAGCGGTATTGGGCTGTTCCAACAGGGGGATGGCGATGAGCAATTCTTCGAGATTTATCATCAGGTCTGGGTTCTGTAGGCATGCAATATCCATTCATGTTTGTACAATCAGACCGAGGGATACCAATTTCGTTTACATTGACCTCGATTTTCTAACATCAGGCAGCCTCGTGAGCTCATGCTTGACCCATCCCACTTGGCCCCCCCTTTGTGATAATCTCCTGCAAATTCTCCGGGATGTCTGGGGCTGATCAGGGAACTTGACGCCGGTACATTGACAAATCCGAACCGGCTAATTGACGACTTTGGCCAGGATATCTAATGCTTATATATCCTTTGCTCAAAGTTGGCTTATAAGCATTGAATTCTTTTCCATATAGCCTACACGCGATGCTGTTTCATGTTCCAAAGTCCAACGTCAATGCATATATAATTTTACTACTACTAGTTGCAGAAAAGAGTAGAACTTTTGTAACTCCCTACCCAACGATATCAATCTCATTACGCGGTAATTCGTCAATCTGTTATTTCCAGTAACCCGTCGCCTGTCCCTAGCCACGGTAAGACTTGCAAATTCTCCTCAGACTCTGTATCTCATACTGATAGAGTCGATATCATCGCTCGCCTTGCCATGGAACCCGACCAAGGCGCCATCGGCAAGATGTTCCTCTTTGCCACCACTGCCTCCCGTAACCCAAGGGACGCCCCTTTTCGTCTTGAACTTGAGCTCGTCAACGCGCGCCCCCGACCGTAAATCCCAGCTTGCGGAGCCGTCCCTTGGAAAGTGGAATGTTTGATACATGTCGTCGTCTTCAATCCTGTTGTAGAGCTCCTTGTGCTGCCCATCAGTCCATGTGAGTCCAATGCCTTTGAGAACCCACTTGTCCTTGCAATCTTTGGTGCCCCAGCCACTCCAGACCTCGAGGAGCTTCACATTTGCGTCGGAATTCTGTGGGTAGAGTTCATAGGGATGGCCGCCATTCCCACCAAAGACGCGAGTATCTTTAACAGGCATGGTTGGAAATTTGTCAGTGTTGTCTCTGAATTTGGCTGAAATAGTACAACTAAGCGTTCAAGGCTTAAAGCAACCCGAGGGACGAAACAGGTGGGTTGTCCAGCTTATATGGGATGTATGTATAGAGCCGGGTTGCTTGTCGTCACTATTCACGGTTTATATCCGCCGGGGTGGGTAACGCGCCACCAAACACAATTATATGGACTCGTTGATCCCGTCGATAAAGTTTTCCTGGATACACCATCGCGCGGGCTATTCGACAAATGAGTTCCTCTGCCTACGGAGGGGCAGATGGCGAGATGAGTGGCGTTATCCGCAGCGTTGCAATCAAACAAAACTCATTTTGGACTCGGAGACGTTCATCTTGGAACTCGCCCGGGTGTTAAAGTTGGTCCATGAGTCTCGGCCCTTTTTAACTCTGACTTGAGAGTGAATTATGTATGATGGGATTTCTGCCATGACGATCTCTGGTGGAAACTTTGCTGGGAAATTGAGAAGCCCGAATACAACATGCTGAAATGTCACGGCGAATTTCTTACATGCATGGAAATTGGAGGCTTAAATATTGGGGCTATGAATAGACTGCAACCACACGCGGTGGCGTATTCCAATATTCTCTGACAAACTATGAAATATTTATTAGTTCTGTTATATTGGCGAGATGTCATGGCCCAACATGCGAGAGTTTGCACGGAAGAAAAGCCCCCCACTGGTAAAAGGGGGCCGAGACAAGCGACCGAGAAATAGTACATAAATCTGATGATTAGATTTATAATACGTCAACAGGTCTAATTATAGGCTGATTGGTGTACCATAGATCTAGTAGATTTCCCGCGATTTCACTGGCTTGGGATATAGCATCCGGGCTAGCCGCGTGACGTATTTCGATCAAGCCATTGCATTCCCATCCGGTAATGAGATGCAGATGGTGTGAGAGACTTTCGTACGATTCGCCTTCAAGGCATGTAAAGAATTCATCTCTTTGGCCCGTACTCCGCGTTGCATCACGCAGGCCCGCCACATATCGTGAGCCATGCAAGGAGATGAAAGTTCGTCTACGGTGGGTACTTTGGCAACGTTGTTTTGACGCTCTCCCGTTGCGACGCTGAGGCTGTCTTGGTTGGCTCTGACAAAAGCAACCGGCCGTGTTGTGTACCAGTGATTTGTAAGAGCATCGGGCCACTCGCAGACTTGAGCTCTTGAATACACCGGCGACCAATGTGGGCTTACTTTTGAGAGGCCCGAGATATGAAATCAGTGGCTTCATATAAGCAGATTCTGGTTAGACGGCTCTACAACGATGAGCTAGGAAGCTCGCTGCCCTGTGGGGTGATTATTCGCATGGCCTTGCAACCAAATCTACTGTCAACAGAGGTCTAGGTCTGTCAACTCATAGTTCTATGAATTCCCCAATAAATCTCTAGCTTTTGATTCGGGCCTTGGTCACGCTGACCGTGTTCCATTGGTCACACACAGAGCAAGCAGCGGATTTCACGTACTAGTTGCTCGTTAAATACATAACCGTTGACGTTGAGATGGAGCCTACCTAAACTAGCACAGCCTGACTGTGTCTTTGGGCGAGTTTGAACTGGAGTGCCTCTAGGATATTACACGTGTTTACCTATTCGCCACGTATATTCATGCATTTAACATCAAAATGCGATGTCCTAGTCTAAAACGAGACGCTTAAAATGCTGAAATATTTAGCAGCTACTAGGTCATGTTGAGTCTATTTGGAGCTCAGGTAGCTATGTGGTACCAAGTATATAGGGATTCCTGTCACGATGAAAGGGAAATGTCTTGAAATATGAGACTTGTCACACGGGCATGCACCACAGCCTCACGGCACGGACCGGCCCTCGGACTCTACGATAGACACACACGGAAGGTCACGAGCCTGTAATTTGCCCCTGCTCTTAGCGGCTGACATATTACGGGGTGGAAACTTTACCCATTTATCCTTCAGGAGGCGGCCACTCACCCATTGATGTCAATACTATGCCGGCTCGCAGACGGCACCCAACTGTCGTGTAGGGCATATTCAAAACATCTGAAGCAGTGGCCAGGCTTGAGGGATTTCTTTCCTCTTCCAGACGCTGCATTATCATCACGTGGCCTTGGTGAGTGGCACGTGATAAGCGGTTCCTTTGTGTAACTTTTGATGTGACGAACAATATGCAGGCTGCTTCTCCGCACCTTCGCAGCCCAGGTGCTGCCAGAAAAGACATCAGAAGGGAAAAAACCCCAAGGCCACTGGTCTTGGAATAACATGGATTCTTCAGAGACATCGCCACTCCTCTCTCCTGTCAAGAGTCACCAGGATGAACCAACACGGATCAAGCGCGAAAAGGCACGTCCGGCCGTCATCGTCTTGCTCCTCTTACTCTACACCGTATTCCTAGACCTCGGCTTCTACCTAATGGAGCCGGCACAAACCCGCATATTGGAGCGCATCTACTGCCGTGAATACTACGAAAAGCATGACCCAAGCCTCATCGGGAGCGATGGCCGAGGCGGCGTTGATGAGAAGTGGTGCAAAGTGAGCTGGGTCCAGGGCGAGGTAGCCATGCTCAAGGGCTGGCAACTGACGTTTGACGGCACAGGAAGTGAGCCTTTCTTCGTCCTTGACATTGAAGACCTTTCTACCTGTCGGAGCTAAGCGTCACCGCGGTAGTGTTGATCTTCTCCATCCCATGGGGCTATGCCGCAGACGTATACGGTCGAAAGCCCGTCATTGTGCTTGTGAGTGTGGCACTCCTGGTCAAACACAGCTATATGCAACTCGTCAGCTATCTCGACGGAGCCATACCACTCCAATGGATCTGGTTGTCGGCACTGCACGCTATTTTCGGCGGCGGCGTGCCCGTCAACACCGCTCTCACACACACCATCGTCTCTGACGTGGTTGCAGAGGGAAGCAGGTGTGTTGACCTCTTGCATGATGACATACCGCGAGAAAAGTACTGAGGCGCCTAGGGTCAAGGGTGACGATTTTCTTCCAGCTTATGGCTGTGGGCATCGCGGCGGAATTCCTCGGCTCCCTTGGTGCCGCCGCACTCATGAGCTGGAACCCGTGGATACCCATGATTCTCGCCATTTTCATCAAAGTGGCTGGTATTGGTATACTGCTGTTCATCCCGGAAACACTGAATTACAACGCTAGTGAACCTGATGCTGCGCCCGCCGAGGAAGCAACTGCGCAGCCTTTAGAGTGGTGGAGGTGTTGCCAGAATGCACTCAGCCATATTCTGAGCTCGATATCCTTCCTGGCATCTAATAGGAAGCTTTTGTTAATAATTTCCCCCTTCACAGCTGATCCGCTTTTCAACCAGGAAATTCTGCGTCTATACATCTCGACGCATTATAAGCAAACCCTCGCGTACGCTACAATGATGATATCCATTCGCTCCGGCTGCATCTTATTCCTCAACCTCTTCATCCTACCCGTCTTGAACAGGCACTACCAGAAATTATGGGGCCCTAGACAATCTGACTTGCTTCTCGCACGCGCCAGCGCAGCAATCATGTCTCTGAGCTTGCTGGGGCTCGGCGTGGCGCCCAATCGACCGCTCTTGGTCTCAGCTCTGCTTATCAATTCTCTTGGATGGGGAATGCTGCCCCTGGTCAGAAGCTTGGCGACGAGTCTAGTGGAGCACCACAATGTTGCGCGGCTGAATAGTCTTATCGGTGTGGTTGATATAGTTGGCCGGATAGCGGGGAGCCCTCTCATGGCTCTGTTGTTTGCAAAAGGAGTCGAGACTGGGGGCACGTGGGCTGGCTTGCCCTTTATATTCTACTCCGGAGTTGTTTTGATTCTGCTAGTGGGATTGATGCACGTTTCTGTATAAATTGTAGAATCTCCTGACAAACCATGCTGTTTGACGGTGTGACAAGGGTACAATGGTAGGCTTGGAGTTACTAGCTCAATTCATCTAATAAAAATCTTTGATATTAAACGTCCCTGTTTTCTCTCAAGGCCTAGTAAACCAAAGAGCTCTTTAAATATAAAAATTCGGTGAGGGTGTTCTGCCGTAGGTCCCGTGATGTTAACACTCGTGTAACCGTGTGACAACTGTATTGGTTTGAAGCGCTATAATTCTACGAAATCCTCTTTGATTGATAATTAGTACATCGAGAGATGTTAGCTATCTATTTGGTAAAAGTAATTTGTACGCAGAAATTAGTTTCCGCCTGGCGGCCGTGAGCGACTATAACAAGCGTTGGCCAGCGACACCTGTTGCACTCGAGCGCTAATCAGTGCATCTAAATACTCTTGCAGTTTTTATTATTCGAGATCGCTTTTTGATCATGTCCATCTTTTATGATTTGGCATTTTTCCCTAGTTCCTCACCTCATCTGATTACCGGTTTAATAACATATGATTTACCGGCCACGCTACGGATTTACATGACTCTTCAATATTTTATTCTGCATCTAGACAGGGGCCCACTTGACTCGTTGTAAAGCGTGGGGGTCTACCTTGGTGCCCAGACACTCACATGTTAGGTGGGGCCGAATGCAGGTCCCCGAGAGGGAGAGGGAGGGGGTGGGTCTAATGCGCGGTCGAACATGGCAACGTGGAATCAATACGAAGAACCAGACATCTTCTAATCCCCGCAAGAGAACAGAGTTCAGGAGCCGGGGGTTAAGGTGAGAAAATTAACTCGAATCAGAGCAAGAACGATCCATTTCATTGGGGTGTATATGGGTAGGCTGGCCGCAGACAGCCCCCGCCACGCGTTTGTTCTGCGCATCAGGCTCATGTCAGAAGTGCATGACCTGATGTGTGTAGATTGGCAGCGAGTGTGTTTCAACCTATCTGACACTTGATGCCAATTACCGGGCTTATACCATGGCCTGGAACGCCGCCTTGCCATGAAAGCTCGTCGGTGTTGACGTATGGAACTCCTTCATGGCGCCGATTATCCTAGTCGTCGGCCCAAGTTTGAGCTCAGTGGAATTCATGGCACAATGCGCCCAGCGCCTTGCGTCATGCGTAGCCGCGTAGATGCTCAACGGTACTAGTCAATGGGCGCAAGAAACCCGTTTGAGTAACTTCCAACGCAAGAAACGGCCGACTGCACAATCCTCTTTGATTCCCAGCTGCTCTCTTCCAGGACTTCGGAGCAGTCGTTCCTGGTATTCTGCCTTGAATCGAATATTTCTTGTCCGGCGATAAGAACTGGCATTGCTACGAGTCATCCACGGCCCACACCCCAAGTTGCTCATTATGCATTTTCCTATAATGCTATGCTAAGGCAGGGATTATCGGGAATAGGATAGGGTATACCAGGTCTATCTCTTTTCGTCTATTTTTAATTCCTAGCCAGATTAGCATGAGACTTTTCAACTTCGGAAAATAACAAAGTTTAGATTAGAGTACATTAAGCCTTGACCAACCTCGTGGTTTGATACAATTTAATATAACTTAATTTATCGAAGGGGGCCGCAACTTTATAGGCGGGTATACATAGAAACGCAAGGGCGTGTGGGGCCGGCCTCTTGGCGCTTAACCGAAAATAGGCAGATGCCCGGATTTTCGGGGTTTTCAATGCCCTCCGCTCCGTCAGTGCTTTGGAATAACTTCACATCCATGTTCCAGCCTCCATCCACGTGGGTACGCTTGGGCCCGTCCCCCCCAAACTTAATCCCAGCATTTGTAGTACTGATGCACGCAAGCACCATGATGCAAAACCAACAGCGTCGAGATCGGGGGTCTGGGGACTAGGATCCCGTAAAGTCGGGGCCCTGCGGCGGATCCCCAAGGCTCGCCTCTACGCCGTTTATGGGAGGTGATGGCTGTGCCATTTCGCCATAGAAGGCTCAGTGGGACTAGGTGTCGGTCGCTCTAAATGAAAGCTTGGCGGGCTCATTTCTTACAGTTTCGTAGACCTGGAGGCGGTGCGGATAGGTGCACATGGGCGGGCGAGGACGCAGGGATAAAGCGAGTATCATGGAAATGTGCATCTCATTGTAGCGACGAGTCTGTTTTCTTGCTCTTGAAGTTGTTATTATTTCTCTGCGATGAAGTCTATACGAGCTCCAAGCCAGGACTAATACCAGTAGTCGTCGAGTTGGAAGGGGGTGAAGGTATAGACACAAGACCCAAAATGGCGTGGACGCACTAATTTAGAAGATTGCAGTGCCTCAGCCTAGAGAAGCGTCCGGAATTAGGGATGTCGGGAATATACATACATATCCAATTATCTACACGTGCCCTCTTACCCTAAATATTCTCCGAGGTACGGGACTGAAATGCCTTGAGCATCTTGCTTACCATACTTTGTATCTGAATGCTGTTTATTAGTAATAATAACCAAAAGTAAAAAAGGAAAATTCGAGCTGCACTGATTTCCTTGCAATGTTGGTATCAACCACAGCGCCTCTGGGTAAATAGATAAGATTGCAGGACTCGCTGGCCACAATCCGCTGTGCATTGGGCGAATCAATGTCTAAGCGGCTAATTTCTGTTTCCATATTTACACCACTACATCTGGGAGCTCGTACTTGACTTCGTTCAGTCCTGGTAGTGAAGGAGGAAATCAAGCACCAACGAGTCATATTCTCTTTCACAATTGTGCAGGCTGGCAAAACCCTTCAGGCTTCGGTGTTGTAGGATCCAGAGCGCTGACAGGGCTGCTTACAAATGATGAATCTTTCCGTGCGCCGATTCAAGCAAGCTCGCTCTTATGCTCGCCGCTTGTTAGTTTTTGTTAGTTTCCTCTTTATCTTAGCACGGGATACTACCGCAGAGGTTCTTTTGGCGTCTTACTCACGCGACGTTTAGCGAAGCTGGGGATGGCGCCCCGGCTAACAACACCACGGCTCGCGACTGGCGCGGAGGTGGAACGTTTCATTCCGGCGTCATGGAGCGACGACCATTATGATGCCGGCAAGGGGCCCTCAGGGATTTGGCAAACTGAGCCCCGGACCCACGCGCTTGCAAGGCCAATCGATTACTGCCTGGATTGCGCAATCGTGCCCATGACGGTTCTTGGTCGCCGCATCGACTGCAACCGTGGGAGGCGGCCCGCCCGTGGTGCAAAATAGACGACGGCTAATATAATATCATGCACGGAAATGACATCGAAGCATGTGCCACGCAAGACCGCCTTGCCTGACGACTCCGCAGTTCCTCCTTATTTCCGGAGAAACTTACAACATTGAACTTGCCCCGTCGAGGAAACTCCACCTCCACTGCCTGATGTCGCGATGATAACAATTTGGGCCAATCGGCGGCAGCCAAAATTGAAGCCACTTGCGACCGAGCCATGGAACCCGCCTCGTTCGAAACCTGGGAGTTGTCTTGGCTATTGGGGCTGTACATTGCATGTTACACGCAGGGAGCCCCAGACCTCATGCAATTCATCCTTGATCGTCCTCGTCTGTTTCACATGCTGGACGAAGCATACACAGGCGCGTTGCGTCTAAAGGTTATTTCACATGGCAGCGGCGGGACCAAGTCATTCAGCAATCATTGATGTCTCAGCTCCCCCACGCGTCGCTGGCCCTGCCGGACATGGAGTCATGGACCCTCCGACCCGCGGGACTGGTTCTGTTAATTCCTGGATAGTCCCCATGAAACAGCCCCATCAGCTGCCGACTAGCAGAGTATTCACCCAGTGCCCTTTTTGGCTACGGCAAACCAGACGTCTCGGCCGTCCAGATGTCGTGTAAGCGATGCACGGGAGCCCGACATGGCCGCACCTACAGAGCCGCGCAGGTATATTCGCGAACCATCTCGCACAGACACTTTGCCATTGTCACAAGCCTCGGAGTTTTGTCAGGGTTGAAATTGGATACTTGACCCTTGACACTGTTTAGGATGCTGACAGCGCAACAGAGTACTTGGTTTAGATGTACTACTTCCTTGTGTACCACTTTCATGTCAATGGCATTTTGTGCTTTGCTGCAGACATGTTATTCATTCATCATCCGATCAAAAGACCTTCCCTTCCCCGTAAAGGCAACGTAAAGCAACCCAGTTGAGGCATGAGTTGATGGTACGAATGGCAATACTACAATGCATGGATAGCCGGCGGTCTGATTCAAATGCCCGTAGAACCTTATTATTGGGACGAAGCAGCCCGACGGAATCGTTAGCGTGCTTCTGGAAGCCAAGCAGTGACGAAACCTAGCTCAGCCTTTATTGATTATAATGCCGGACGCTTATCCCAGGTGCCGAGCCATCAAGCCACACCCGTCCATCCGTCAACGCCGTGGATCCTGCCCTTTAATGGCATCTTGGCTCATGTCTGAGATTGCCCGTCCGGGTCCTCTATTTATGCAAGATGGCACTACATGGCCATAAACCGACGTCCGCCCTACTAAGCCGGTAGTTGAGACATTCACCTCTTTGAGCCCCCACCATGCCGACGTTACACATCCCAGGCGCAAGGCTGTTGGAAACTGCCGCGTCACGGCAATACCTTTAAATTTTCTTAAATACTTCCATTCTAGGTTAGTAGTGACAGACTTCATGATTCAATGCCATTCATGCCTTCATTTACATCCAAGCCTCGCGAGATGATCTAAAATGTATAAAACAGTCACGACGAACCCGAAGATGCTGCAGAAAATCTCCCATCTCATCACACCAACACCCTCAAGACACATCTTAACTACATAAACACACTCCTTAACAACACACACCTACTCTAAGACTCTCCTTCAATAAAATGAAGTTTTCCTTAACTCTCGTCACCGCCCTTCTCGGTCTGGCTGCCGCCGCGCCCCAGAATGACCCGTCCACCGAGGGTCTCTCCAAGGAGCTCGCAGACGAAATGCAAAAGGTCCTAAAGCAGCTAGAAGAAGACAACAAGAAGAGCATCCCCGGCACCATCCAGGCCATGGCCGAGCAGCTCGGCTGGCAAGCGGCCGGCAACCTCCCCGGCAAGGTCGGCCAGGGCGCCACCCTCCTCTCCTTCCTCGCCACCTCGGACTACAGCATCACCCCCGAGAACGGCAAGGAGTGGGTAAAGAACCTCGGCGGCGTGGCGCTCTCGTTCCTCCCCAAGGTCGGCACCCTCGGCAACATCCCCGGCTTCCTGGGCATGCTCAAGACCATCGCCATCGGCCTCGAGCGCGCCCAGTTCCCCGAGCTCGCGGCCAAGCGCGACGCCGAGGCCAAGTGCTTCGCCGACAACAAGGTCCGCACCTACAAGGACCTCTGCGCCTACTGCAAGCCGCACCTGACCATCTCCCTGCTCGGCAGGCTCAACGGCTGCACCGACGAGCTGGTCGCCAACCGCGACGACTACGTGGACCACAAGCGGGCGCAGAGCTTCTGCGCCGACGCGGTCCTCTGCTCGGGCTATAATGACGGGGGGCCGAGCAAGATCATCAAGAACGGCTTCCGGTACGACCCGCTGCGCTCGTTCTGGTGCAAGGACAAGGATGTCCAGATTGGCATGCTGCTGAGTAGCTGGATTGGGGAGCCGCTCCGCGACAGCCTCTATATGCTCGACGCTGAGGACTTTCGCAACGCTTTGACCCCCGCTTGTAAGGAGATCACGAAGGATCTTAATGTTGAGGGCACGTGTCCGAAGAGGGAGGAGCTCGAGGCTGCGGATAAGCTGGCGCCTCCCGTGAGCTACTGCCAGCCCGGACAGAGTGTGGCTGCTGGCGGTCCTGACAAGCCGTTTGTGCCAAAGGCTTAGACGTGCTTGCTGTGGGATTGGTGCTACGCAGCCGTGCTGGCTGCTGAAGTTCGAGGGTTGAAGGGGCCTCGCGGTGGGGACTGCGAAGGAACGGCACCGGTGGCCTGGTCTTTTGCAGGAGCAGGGGCGTATGGGATTCAAGATTAGAATGTACTCTGTTTTTATAGCGCTTTTAGGATGCTCTTTTTTTTTTTTAGAAATTGTACATACAATCACTCAGCTGAGAATGTTTGAATCGTGCAAATTGTGATGAGTCTAACGAGTGGCCTGTAATGGAATTGTGAACCATTATGTATAGTGCTTTGAAAATGCGCAGATCTACGCTAGATTCCGCACCATCATGGGAGTGGTGGCCGGCATATTTTCCAGACTGGATGGATTAACCAAGCTTTGGAGGCGCTTTGCTTTGGCCGAGGAAGCCAATAGGAATGCGCAATTCGTTGAGAAACATCTGTTTTGGGAATATCGAGGGGGCAAAGTGGGGCCGCGTCGGGAGATTCGGCGCCGCGATGCGGTTTCATGTCGAAACAAGTAGTGCATTGCCCGGCCCGCGCCATGAGCTTACGTTATGGGGGTGAGGTTTCATTTCAGATTCCTTGACCGGGGGCCCGGTGTGGCCAAGTCAAAAGCAAACACATGGCATGGACTGGCACTATGGACCAACCCGGACGCTGAGTCGAGAAGGCGATTATGGTTTCGGAAGTTTACTAAGCAGCTGTGATGAACCGGCAATCGGGATCGAAAGGGACCATAGGGCTGAGTCGGAATGAATCTTCGGAATTATGCAGTGGGCTGCAAGGACAGAAACATGAAACCAAGGATCGTGCCTGATATCCGATATGGACCTCTACCCGAACAATCGCTTGATTAGAGGATAAGGATTGCTGAGACGTTATTTCTGGGACCGGAAAGGATTCCGCTTATAATATGACTACTGCCCGGCTTTGTAGAGCAGAGAGAGAGCTTGAGGAGTCTCAGGGGTATCGCGTTCTGGCGTGTCGTGCCGCTCTATTAATTTCTATATATATATATATATATATATGTATGCATACCAAGCTTAGTTCATTCTTAGTACCAACTCCATATAAGCTAATACTCTTTCACCAAGTTGAGCGAGCATTCAACTCGCCTAGTGTTTGCTCAACAAGATTAGCTAGCTGGACCCCCGATTGCCATACTACATCATGTTGGCCCGTGAGATTCTTCACCACAGTCGGAGTAATACCGTCTGCAATCAGCTTCTTCTCCATGGCATCAAGCTGTGAGGCATTAATAAGTGTGTCCTGCTGCGACCGTGCCAGCACCAAGACATTGTTACCAGGCCACATTTGCTTATAATTTCCAGAAAAGGTAGCGGGAGATGCCAGCGTCCAATCCGCTCGTCTGCTGCCAAAAGCTTGCGTAACAAAATTGGTGTAAAACTGCTTGGATTCTGGACCGACTTCGTCCACAAGAAGAGGCAGGTCGAAGATGCCCGCGGTGGTGATGACTGCGTCTGGTAGCGGTATTTGGTCGGAATTTGCTGTGCCATTGCGGCCCGCCCGGCATGTCGGTGTCTGTTGACGCCCTTGATCGCTTAGGCGCTGCAATGCCGCGTCGCCCATGAGCAATTGCATGGCCATTGTACCACCAGCCGAATGCCCAATCAAGATGTACTTGTCCATTTGCATCCTCTGCGCCAAGGACCGGATCGCAGAGCGGACATCGTTGACGTGGTCTGGGTGCCGAACTCGGGGTTGGCTCTGTCTGCGGTTTAGGTCGTGCCTTCTGACCTGCGTATTGCCATTATCCTGGCCCTGGCCGTCGTCGCCCAAGTCCGATAGCCGGTAGTCCATGGTGGCAAAGCCGCGGATCTGGTCAAAGGGAGCGCCCTTGCGCGAACGCATTTTGGCCACGGCGCACAGGAAATCAACTCCCGCACCACTCCGCCAGGCACCTCCATGCAAGAACCTTTTAATCATGTCAGTCCGTGTCAGCCGGGAATGCTAGAGCGAGGAGTGAGGTCGTATTCATCGTACACTACCCAATATGTCCCGTTTGGATTCGATTCCAACGCTGCAGCGCATTGGAGCGTGTTTTGGCAGCCCTGGAGCAAACTGGTTTTATTGCCGACTTCTGGCACATTTTTGTTATAATTGAATAGGCCATCAATAAAGTCGTCTGTAAGCGTGTCTAGCCGTTCACCTGGGCAAACACCTTGGTCGTCGGACTGGGCTGTTACTGCTGTTCCCAGTGCGGCTATGCAATACAAGATACAATATAGCTTCATATTATCCAGCTGAGGTTGTTGTGTTTGGAAGCAAGAGAGACAATCTAGACAAAAGAATTATGCCGTCATGCAGTGATTTTGAAATTGTCCGTAAAGGTAATCAGGTCGGAAGAAACCATGGAAATAGAATAGAAGTTAAGAGTCATAGGAAAGGGCATCTCGGCCCATTTCATTGTCCTTCATGCCCGTCCCGGGTGTGCAGGGTCCAAGTAACTCATGCCTTGTGTTTTGAAGGGAATGAACGTCATTAAACCGGCCTCGGCTAGTCGGTCTGCCGGATCTGCCGGATCTGACCATTGCGCATTTGCATGACTGTTTCAAGTTTCGGGTATCCCTGCCTCAAACCAGGCCAAGATTTCGCTGTCTAAGATGACATGATTATTCGCCGACACTTCTCCACTCGTGAGACACATGAAGCAATAGGGCTGGAAATCCTCCCGAGTACTTGCAAACATCTGCAGGATGGGACGCCACACCCGAGAACAAGTTTAATGAATACAACAGAACATATGTCCTTCTTAACATGACAAGTGCGAAACGTATCAACAAGCGACATCGGCTTCGTCGAGCTCTCCCTTTTATTGCTCCGTTTTTCCCTTTCTTCTTTACTCGAGGTATTCGATAGAGTCAACTAGTTAGTTGCCAATATACTTTGCTAGGGCCGCTACACCCAGCAACGCGACTGGGGCAATTGCAGTAGCATTTATTTTGCCCCTCTGTCGCTGTTTCTGTTAGGAGCTCTGGGCTCTAATTCTTGATTGCTTAGGGCGGAGGGCCTAGAAGGCATTAATTGCCGAATAACCACATGTGCAATCACTTTCCAATGCTAATAGACTTATCGGCCATCCGGGGTATCCAAACCCGAGTGGTAACAGAGCGGGGCAAGTAAATCCAATCTTACTGTGAGACCCATAAGCCGCGTAATGTCGCGTTCTGCGTCTTTGTTTTAAAGTATGTGGCCCGGTAGGGGAAGTAGACCAATCAAATAATGCCTGTTATTGGTCATGTTCGTTGTCAGCACTGACAGACGCATCGCAGTGGAGACCAGCTCTGTAGCCCCAACACTACTATCCCGGTTGATAGGTATTCCGAGCAGGAGGTAGGAGCTTATGTGCGCTATCACGAAACGAATTACAATGTTGCAGCATTTAGTAACAAGGGGGGAACGGGTAATATCTTAACCCACATCCAGGAGGGATACAGCTAGAGAAAATAAGAAGAAGAGAACAGGGTAAAGGCTTTTACAGTAAAGTGCCGGATCTAGGGATTTACCGGATATCTACATACTAAGGCTTTAAGGACAAGTTTAAACATACTTTATAATAATAAGTTTTGATTTTTTAAAAGCTTATATTTTAAAAAAATTATATTAATAAAAGTGTATTACTATATATAATAAGAGAAAAATAGTTACTTTTATATATATTAATTCTTAACTTCTTATAATACAAACTATCTTTTCTTTGTTATTCGGCAAAGATAAGAGCTCCAAGATAGTCAACATGCGCTCGGTAAAGTATTGGTCTTTGGTCTAGGCTTTGCAACAACTACCTCCAACTGCACGCACGCCCGCCAAATAGTTCGTGAGTATCAAACCGAATAGCCTTTTCTAGTTATTACAGGAGAAATATCTGTATCACCGATCATGTAGAGAAATAACTGTCCATCAGCTGGCCGGGGACGCTGGTGAGGCGTGCAGGTCGCACAAGATTCCCCGCAAAAAACCATCAGCTGCCAGATGTCAGCTTCAGCTGAGCCTCGTCTCTCCCCCTCACCAATCGTTGTGCGGAAGGAGCAACGGGCTGCCTACGTGATTTCCTCTGAGCCATGCACGTCCAGATGTCGTCTTCGCTCTTTCCTGCTCCCCTAATTTCCACCTTGAACCCCGTCCTTTACCCACATTGTCGTGCAAAGCTCCTATACAAACAGGGCGTTTGCTCTTTTGATCTGCGACCACAACTACCGACCTGGTTCATCTTCACCAGACGCCCAAGTCTCGGCTGTGCTCCGCGGCATTTGACTGCCGCCTGCCAAGCAGTGGCCAAGGCCACATGCATCTATCTCAGCATCAAAACTATCAATGATACCAGCAGCCAACTGGGCTCGGCGTGAATCGGACGAATGAACAATTCTGAACTATTACTCGAAGAAACGCTCCTGCCATTGTGCACTGTCTGCTCCATTCTTCTCCAGGCTCACAAAGGCTCTAGAATGAAAAGACTTCGCCCTGAAAACTACACCGTGGGATGGCTTTGCGCTCTCCCGACCGAGCTTGACGCGGCGACGAAAATGTTTGATGAGCGGCATTGCGACATTCTACGAAAGCCCGATGATCCAAATTTATATACACTCGGTCGAATTCACAACCACAATGTTGTCATCGTGTGTCTGCCTGCTGGTCAGACGGGTGCGAGTTCAGCCGCAGCGGTTATGGGCCAGATGAGGTGCCAGTTTCCGTCAATACAGCACACGTTCTTGGTCGGCGTTGGAGGCGGTGTTCCGGGCGACGATGCGGCTGTAAGACTTGGAGATGTGGTCATTAGCCAGCCGCATATGGGACATGGTGGTGTCGTTCAATATGATTTCGGGAAGAGCACACCGAGCGGATTTATACGTACTGGGTTCGTCAATGCTCCGCCAACTATCCTTTTAAATGCTGTTAGCAAGCTACGAGCAAATATTCTGGAGCACCAGGTCCACATTTCAAAGAACTTATCCACCTTCAACCACTTGCGAGATAGCGCCGGACCCGATATCCTATTCGAGTCAATCTACGAGCATGTTGGAGCGGCTAGCTGTGACAGTTGCGACAAAGATCTGGTGATACATCGAACGCCGCGAAGCAGTGGGGAAATTGTAATCCATTACGGTACTATAGCCTCTGGTAACCAACTTATACGAGATGCGTCCACGAGAGATACGCTCAGCTCGGAGCTTGGAGGTGTTCTTTGCTTTGAAATGGAAGCGGCTGGATTTATGAGCATATTTCCAGGCCTTATAATTCGAGGCATCTGCGACTACGCAGACTCTCACAAGAACAAGAAGTGGCAGGCTTATGCGGCAGCAACGGCAGCTATAATGGCTAAGGAGATCCTTTCAATTCTACCCATAACTCAACTCCCCGCGGACAAAGAAGCGGATTTTGGATGTGGCAACCCGTTACAATTCTTAAATCTTTCGCAGAGGCCAGAGTGGCATTTGGCCCAAGATGGTAGCTCTACACACTAATGCTCCGAAGAGTTGTGGATTTGCTAACACATGGCGCTCAGGGACTTTACCTTATAATATTTTCGAACATATTTCTAATTACGAACCCAACTGTACCTACCGCAATTACTTGCGCAACAAATGCCCGGGTACTGCAACGTGGATACTAGGTAATAAGGAATTCTTGACGTGGAGAAAAAAGACCTCTGCATGTTTATGGCTGTCTGGTAAAAGTATGTATCCATACGTCTACAAGTCAGACGGCGAGACACTAACTACCGCGCTCTAGTTGGCTCTGGGAAAACTTTTGTGACGTATTTCCGCACCTTATGACCCGTTTGGCCAAACTTGTCATAATATTAATGTGATTTAGGACCACCGTTGTTGAGCATCTAATGGAAGCGTCTCAAAAAGGTGGTGATTTTGTGGCACATTTTTTCTTCAACCACTCAAGCAAATTCCGACTGAAAGCTATTCATCTATTTGAAAGCTATATTAAACAGATGCTCGGTTTTCTTGACAATGCGGGACATGTATGCCCTCACGAGCTAACGTATGTTGTGAAACGATTTTACGGCCCAAACAGGTGCCAACCCAGCTTTGCTGAGATTATAGAGATGATATTCATACCTCTGGGCGAATTCTTGAATCAGGTCACCCCAAGCGCAACATACATTGTGGACGGTCTCGACGAGTGTGAGTCAGTCGAGAGGCGACTGGTACTTAATACCTTACGAAACATGATGCAACAGCGCGATACGCAAAGAGTTTTAGTCTCCGGACGGGAAGACCTGGATGTGACAAACTTCATAGAAAACTCTATGACCTTGCGCATATCAAGAAAGGAAAATGAAGAAGACGTTCGGGAGTTTATTGAGTGGAAAATCGAGGCAAAGCTGCGGGAACGACAGCTCACAGAAAGTGAGTACGTCCTCCGGGACATCAAAAACAAACTGAATGAAAGGGCTGATCTCATGTGAGTGATTGCACCTATGGCAACCCTCGTTTTGATTGATATACTTATATTAAAGCAGGGTGTTATGGGTGAGTATGCAAATAGACGCTCTCTGGGACGAGTGTACTACGGATGACGATATTCAGACGGCCCTCGAAAATCTCCCTAGGAGTCTAGATGAGACTTACGCCCGCTGCCTACAAAGAATAGATAGGAGGCAAAGTCGCTTTGCCCAGACCATTTTGCGTTGGGTGGCCGCAACAATCACGCCGTTTCAAGTCGATCAGTTGAGAGAGGCACTTGCGATTAATCCCAACACAGGGTGCCTCGACAGAAACCGAATGCCGCCACGCCAAGAGATTGTAAAATGCTGTTGTAACCTAATCACTTCGAACTACGGTCAAATCCTCCTCGCACATCATTCCGTACGGCAGTTCTTAGAAACACGACTCCCTAGCGGCCGATTCACCTGGGCATCGTACAAGTTACACACTGCGCGGCTAGAACTTGGTGCGCTTTGCGTGAACCATCTTACGTCTGCTGACTACGGTCTCAATTTGCAGCATTGTAATTTGGGCGAATGCTCGCGAATTGCAATAGGTAAACCAACAATGAAGACACTGGTTGAAGGCCCCTTACCATCCTGGACTCGCCGCTTTTTATTAAGGCCTAAACCTGCGACTATGTTCCTACCTAGCAAAGCTTCGAGCCCTCCTTCTGACATGGAGCTTTCGTCGTTCTTCCATTATGCCAAAGCCCACTGGGCGCCACTCACTCGAAGTATTAGCAAAGCCTCTCCACACTGGGATAACTTCCGCAGGCTTGCCCTCGAGCCAAATTTGTCATGGCGGTTACATCCTTGGCCGCCTCTAGGAGAATCTCCTGATTCTCACTACTTTGGCTTGTTGGGGTGGGCAATAGTACATCATCATGTCCCTTTACTAGATCTCTTATTACGGATACAGGATTATAAGCCCAGGAACGCCATATTCAACATGCCATTTTATCAGTACAATAATCTTCCGGCCTTACATTTAGCGTCAAGAACCGGTAATGCTGAGATTATAAAGCGGCTACTTGAAGTATGTAATCCCAATAAGGCGGATAACAATCATCAAACAGCCCTCCATCACGCGGCAGAGACGGGCCGTGTAGATGCTTCGCTGCTATTAGTCCAGCGGCAAGTGAGCCTAAAAGCTCAAGATAACAGGGGCCGGACGGCTCTACATTCTGCGGCAGAAAGTGGTCATGTCAGAGTGGTGCAAACACTTATTGATGGAGGCGCGGACGTCAACCAGAGGGATAATATAAGACAGACCGCGCTGTTTCTCGCAGCCGGAAACGGCCATGAAACTGTTGTTCGGATGCTAGCTTACCGAGGCGCTGACATGAATATGGAAGACAACAATAGATGGACGCCGCTGTGCATAGCTGCGGATAACTTGCAGGACCAGACAACCCGGACGCTTATTGAGCTTGGCGAGGACATCAACATGGAAGATGGCGTCGGACGCAAAGTGCTTGATATTGTAGCGAGTAAGCTTTCTGGGGACGTGGGCTCGAAGCCCAACGCCAACCAGGCAGTGTTTCTGGCCGCGAAGCAAGGGCACGAGGCGGTTCTACAGGTGCTGCTCGCATGCGGCGTCGACATCAACGGCAAGGATTTTGATGGATGGACACCGTTAACACAGGCAGCTGCTAGTGGGGACGAAGTCATGGCTAAGCTGCTGCTCGAGAAGGGTGCCGACATAGAGGCTACCGACACAGAATATGGCTGGACGCCGCTGTCGTGGGCTCTCATAAAGGGAAAGGAAGCTGTCCTTAAATTGCTACTCGAGAAGGGCGCCGATATCGAGGCGTGTGCCGGGTGCCAACAGACGCCTCTATCGCAGGCGGCTCATACGGGGGACGATGTTAGAGCTAAGCTACTACTCGAGAATGGTGCCTACGCGGAGACGAAGGACCAGTTTCACCGAACACCTCTATCGCGAGCTGCCAAGGAGGGCAATAACACCGTGGCTAAGCTGCTCCTAGAGAAAGGCGCACACGTCGACGCTAAGGACTGTCATAACCGGACGCCGTTATCATTGGCAGCCGAGGGGGGGCATGAGACCGTAACTGAGCTGCTGGTCGAGAATGGCGCTAATATCGAGGCGAAGGATGGGAAATATGGCCAGACGCCGCTCTCCCTAGCCGCTATGAATGGCCACGAGGCCGTGACTAGGCTGCTACTCGAGAAGCGCGCTGACCTTAAGACTCGAGACACCTTTTATGAGCAGACACCGTTATCGTGGGCGGCCAAGGGGGGGCATGAGACCGTAACTGAGCTGCTGCTCGAGAATGGCGCTAATATCGAGGCGAAGGATGGGAAATATGGCCAGACGCCGCTCTCCCTTGCCGCTATGAATGGCCATGAGGCTGTGACTAGGCTGCTACTCGAGAAGGGCGCTGACTTTGAGACTCAAGACACCTTTTATGAGCAGACACCGTTATTGTGGGCGGCCAAGGGGGGGTACGAGGCTGTAGCTAAGCTGCTACTTGAAAACGGAGCATTCCTCGAAACTGAGGACGGGGCTGGCCGAACGCCGTTATCTTGGGCTGCCCAAGGGGGGCACGAGGCCGTGGTCAAACTGCTTCTTGACAAGGATTGCGACGTCCAGGCTCATGATGATAACGGGAGAACGCCACAATCGTGGGCCTGTAAAGGGGGACACTATGCCATTTCCAGGCTGCTGCATATGCCTTGATCTCCATTTCCCGACACTCTTTTCGTTGGTGGCGCAGTTCTATTCGTAACGAAGCAGTGCTGTTCCCCTCTCCGAGTCATAGCCGGGCTATCCCACATTCCCAACGTCTCTGATTAGCATTGGCCTTACCGTTTCTATGTTTAATAGCTTTGGCAGAGGTGTACTCGAGTGGTACGAGTTTATTAATGGCTGCCATTTGCCGGCCCGGCCTGACAGAGCACTGGTCAAGTGCGAGGCCGTTGGCCTAAATTTGCCGTCATGCGTGTATCCGTGGAGAGTGTCACACAAACGCAGTATGTGTGGTAGTCACGGGCATCTATCATATTTACCAGGATATGCCAAAGTTTGAGTCCTGAGTTGAACGCATCTTGTTACATGGAAGAAGCCCAACAGATCGTGAAGCCTAATAAAGGGGCTTCACCGATAAAGGAACCTATTAGTTACGCAGCTGGAACACGTGCCCGGGTAAGAGCCCTAGGCCTAGGCGTTCCTTTCATGTATATAAAGCAGTTACCTTTCTCTTCCTTCCTCTTAGCAACTCAGGACCTTTAATATCCTACGAGATTATTATTGAATTGAGCCCCTTTTGCTCCAAGCCTTCATATTGAACCCTTGTCACACATCTCAAGCGATGAATGAGTCCGGTTGCATTGACTATTCTATTACGCCTAGACGCTTCAGTAGCGTTGTTACTATTCCGGAGTCGTAACCATCATGGATTCTGGAACTAGCTCTACAACAGTATACAATAACTAAGTCTCGCGTCGAATGGGTATCAACTATCGGTAAAGGAGAGAGGCAAAAGCATCTATGTACATGTGTAGCACAGTCTCGCCATGGGGTATCAACTTTCAATCTGATGTAAAACAGTATTTCTTCTTGTCAAGACGCCAACTCATGTGCCGGTGGCTCATTCGCGGGCTTCTCAGCAGCGCGAGAAGGAGTCCCCGGCATCTCATGAACTATCCCGGGATCTGGGTCGGCAGCATTGTGTGCTGGTCCTGGCAGGCTATCGGCATGTAGCTGGGCTTTCTCGTAAGTCTGATCTTGGCTCTTTGTCTTGCTGCCTGCCGAACGTCTGCGCAGGAAGATGATGGAACCTAGGACGAGGGCTAATACTACAATAGGACCTATAACCGCCCCGGCTATCCAGGCTTTACTGGCTATAACAAGTGTTTTATTAGCTTCCATCCTCTAGACTGGGGAGCAGGTACAGCTTGAACCTGCCTGAGGAGGCTCCGACAGGTGTTCCCACTGCAGAAGAGCTTGCAGTTGGTGACGGAGTGGACGAAGACGTTGCCGTGCTTGATGTTGAGTTTCCCGTGGGAACCATGTAAACGATGGTCGATTCAGACCCGTCAGTTAGGACAAATATGCCCGTGGTAACGGAGTACTCGATATGGCAGAATGCTAGAAATGGTCCCAAACGCGGTATTCTTTTACTCCCGCCCCCGTTGGTATTTTGCTTAATACAAGAAAGGCAATTCTCGTATGCAGTCCGAAAGGGCGAGTTGGGTTCGCAGAGTTCGGAGGTCTTCCCCGTCTGTTGGGCTATGACATAGACCGAATCTTCAGAGCAACAATAATGGTTAGCCAGTCGAGATTGTTGAGTAAAAGCTGGGTGCGTATAGTACTATGAGCTTACTGCATGTGTCATAGCATACGGAAGGAACTGAAATATCATCTTGGCTCTGACGGCTGCTCAGCAGCCGAGTCGTAGTCATGATGGCGTGCGTGACGGGAGTGATGGTGCCAAGCTCATTCGAGAAAACAGCATTCTTTGAGAACTTGGAACACAGAAAGATGCCCTTCCTCTTGGCTACCCCGCTTCGTGTAACGTTGTGAGATTTCCTTTTGGCTTCTAAGACATGCTTGTTTTCAAGCATCATGAGAGGCTCGCGAGCTTGTGGAGACGTCCTCGTGCCATGTACTCCCTGCAAATCATGGATGACTGAAGCAGTACTCCGTACGCAGGCCTAATAACGGGAGACCTGAAAGGTGGTGAGATGATGTTCAATGTTTGTAGCGACCGTCCCCGTTTGCCGGGCGAGCCCATTGCGCGCATTATTCAATCTAAGATGGTTATCAATACTAAAGAGCGGCACATGAAATTATGCCAACACTTAACAGGCTTAATATCATCACACGGTACTTTAGCTGCAGGGATTATGCTGAACGCTGAGAAATGGGCCTTCAAGCAGCCCGAGGAGAGTCGATGGACAAAAAGGGACAAGTGTTACACGGTAAAGGCCAAACAGTAATATAGCCCAATAAAAGCGAATGGTATGAAGAACCAAAGTCATTAATGGCCAAGAGTCCTGATAGAGCCGATGAAAACATTCATCTCGAAAATCTCCTGATTGTACTTGCTGATGTATTCGATCAAAACATCACAATTAAGAAGCACATCTGCAGTACCTGGTACATATCCGGGACCATTTTGTCATACACGTAATATATTTATCACCGTAAGAGCGATACTGCCCTTCTCACGGCTTGCCAGGCTTGAACTCTAGTAAAGAACCCCAATACTGCCAGAAATCTTCCACATCCACCAGTCTTGGCCATCACACAATGCGGATGTCAAGTTTTACCTCGGCTAATAATTGCCCATCATTTCAGTATATTGCGAGAAGGCAGTCCCTGCGCCATGTACGGGATAGCTTACATTGCAAATGGAGTTTAGACACTCATATGGCGGACAACAGTCATCATCCCACAAGCCTCCACATCGAGTCCCCTAAATTTTATTAGCATGTGGTATCAATGATGGCTGTTTCGAAAATCGCGGAACCTACATGCGGTATACAATCGCTCGCTCCTGGTCTCGCAAATGCCACGGTAGCCATAACAGCTAAATATAAAAGGTCGAACTTCATGGCTGTTTGTATGAATTTGATACCAAATCTTTTGATAAGTTATTCAAAGATGGGTTGGCGGCAGAGAAACGTGAGAAGATGCAGAACGGAGTGAAAAGCTGGGTTTTATACAGGATGTCGGCGCCAAGAACTAGCTGAACAGTATGTAGTTTTCAAAATACCACTCTTGCCATGTGGGGTGACTAAATCATTGCTGTACAGGGAAACATCATGGAACCATGTTCATAATACTACACGTGTTGCGGTAGCGTTATCTTTGAGCTCCCTTTATGTCTAATTAGTAAGGAATATCCCGCCATGCCGAGATTTGATAACCACATATCTTATAAAGCCAGGGCCCTTTCGATAGTACCTGCGTCGGATACTCGCTTCATACACGGGGGGGTGGTAGACGTACAGCAGACTGAGTCTTCTCGCAAAAGCGCTGGGCGAATAGCTGAAACATAGTATCCAGCGATGAATTCGGATACACCATCGGAGTTTAAAGGGCCTGCTGACCCGCTTCAGGATCCAGCACCTCCTTTCAACCAGCCGCATATGGGTCCCACGATATCTGGTATAAACATGTATCCATCTCTGAACAACCACATTGCCTACAAGCTTTCTGGTACCAATGAGTTATGAGACTTGCAGGTTTCACATAGAAGAGAAACAGAATGGTGTGACAACCAGGCAGCTGGCCTCATTTAATCCGGTACATTCGATGAAAGGCTTACAGGATAGCCCTGAGTCCAGCTCCCAAAGCTCTGCTTATACGTGGCATAGCCCGTTGAGCGGATTGCCATTTAGCTACCAAACACAAGACCTTCCATTTTATGTCTCTCCTTAACTCTGGCCTCGATGAAATATGGCAACCAGCTTAACATTATGACCTCCCACTGAAGCCACTACTGTTGTTGTCGCCGAAACACGCCTTCATATGTCTTGAACTGACTAAAACCCCAATGCATCATCTATCTGATGTATAATGTATTTCTCACGACTAACCTTAGAGTACAGGATGCAACACTTGCGTTTCAACACCGTTCCGACTATAACAAGCAGCGGTATGGGCAGGCTAGGCTAGGGCAAGGGTCTTTTGCGTCACCGAAGCAGGAACCTACCAAAAAAGAAGGAGCTGGATCCATCTCAGCGATAAGGGGGACAAGGCGGGAATGATTGTCCAAATAAGCTTGGCGGAGAGGCGACAGCCGGAGCGGCCGCGGGGAAAACCGGACGACGGAGGACATGGTCTGTAGCACGTTGTGGACGGTTTGTTACGCAGGTGGAATTGGCAAAAGGAGACGTTGGCGGTCGCACATTGCAGTCTGCAGTCTATAGACTGATGTATGTCTCCGGATAAGGAGGCGGCAGCTTTCCTGCGGCTCGGAGCGCACGACGTGCACTCCGAGGGTTGTCGTCTTTCCAGACGTGGATCAAATTGACGACGTAATAAACATACAAATGAGAGAGTGAAATTGCGACGGCAATAGTCGGTAGTTGACGGGGAGATAAAAAGCAACAGCCAATATCTGCTCTGATATGCAAGGCGCCGTTTACGGAATATGGGTCACAATACCAGACTCCACGGAACCTGAACCATTTGGGGGAAAGCTTAGATCCTTTCAAACCTTGTCTCAAGTTTGGTCTCGGTCAATCTTGCACTCGTATAGGTGAGATGGGCTGACTGAGTGTGTAACTGACGAGACACGACGACACCTTGGGCAGTCCATATTTCAAATCCAGGAATTCCATGTGACCTTCAAGCGCCCTTGCGTGGAATCTCCTCGCCACTAAAATATTCCACAACAAGAACGGATTCACTTCTCATGGAGACTAATACGAATATTGGTGCACACTCCCACAAGTCTTGTGCCAGGGAACCGCCGGTGGGAAAGAGTGGTGTTTATGCGAAACCTCATCTGTCAGCACCACTGAAACTGTGACTTTGACTGGTATCAGGACCGCTGGCATTCGCAGGCGATGAATTCGGCTATGAAAACCGCATTTTTTACTTCCTTGCCGACCGTGGCGGCAAGTCCATGCTCCTGCCGGTCGTGTGGTATAAAAGCATCGGGGAATCCTGTCAGGAAACCCTCGAATGATTGTGAGCAAAACAATCGCAAGGTGTCATCACCTCACACTGCACTCATCGCATCAGTCTTCCTGTCCCATTACATATGTGGCAAGTATCGCACATTGGTTGAGGAGTCCCATAACGGCCCCAATAGGCTCGACGTTGTTCACAAGCCGCCGTATGTCGCTGTTCGCAAAGGTTTGGGCGACCACCACAGTAGGTACAGGAGAATTCCACAGTTTCTCTGACTGTAGCCTCGTACTCGCCACTTCCTCTGCAAATCTCGCAATGTGGATTCGGTCGCGAGTAACCACGGCTCGTCGTAGAATCGCGGCTGGACCCGTTGGAGCTACGTGAACCTGGCATGTAGACCTTGCGTAACTGCTAATATTAGCCATGTTCGTTTATTTCGGCAATTAACGTAGAAAAGACGGGGGAGAAACGGCTCGTACAATATTTCCAAGAGCAACACTATCGAGGACAGAGTGCCGCCGTTGCTGGGCGACTTACTTTGGGAGGGTGGATGAAATCACTGGGAAATATGTCAAGACAATATATCCTTGGTAGCACTGGGAAGCATAAACAACGATAGTGTATGTCAAAGAGGCTTAAAGCTAGTAGTCGACGAAGTGAGGGTGCTCCAGGCTCATTCTGTCCCTTTATATCCCGTCTTGGCCCAGTAAAAGCCCCAACCATCAGTCCCAGGCTGTTACACGGAGGTCACGTAGCAATGGAGGCACGTGCCGTCCCTTGAATATTTTATTTTGCCCTCCCGGGGGCTGCTGGCGGCGACATCTCGCCATGTTGCTTATGGTGTCAAGGGCCTCACGGCTTTCAACACTAAAACGGCAAGATGGTGATAATCCACAAAGATATGTACCGACACTACAGTTCAAGCTAATAATAGTAATTCAAGGTCATTTAGACCAACTCAATTTTTAACTGCATGAGAAATGTGATTCTGGTGGCACACTTGGGGACTATTATTAACTTATTAACGAAGCAAAGATGCATTCCATCTCTTTCCCGTTTTGCTTAATAAGGCTCATCGACCCCTCGAGGCCTTGAGAAAAGCAAAACCTATGATGCCAAAGCGGATTATTACTGGATATGACGTCGTTTCCAAGCCCCTCTATAAGCCCATGTCACAAATGCCTACCCTGTTGCGAAGAATGATCTCGAGGTGCGCAAACACTCCTTCCCTCCCGCTATACATCTCGTTTCTATACGTACATTACTCCAGTGATGTGAGCGCACTCCAGTGTACTGGGCTTTTGCTTTTGCAGCATTTGGTCCCGCTGCCCAGACTGTCTCTGGATAGTCTTCTTCGTCATGAAGTACATGAAGGCCAAGAATCTCTCCCCTGCGCCAGTTGTTTCTATGATGCCTCTTGCCATGTGTTTTTTACCTAGCCGCCCCACTCTTTTTTGATTCCGCCTCTATCATCTATCCGTTATGAATTACTGACGAGTCCCATATGACAATTGGTAATGTCCTGTAGTATCAGATGGGCAGGTACAGCTCTTTGGCTCGAGGGCATGTCATCGAGAATACTCCCACTGGGATCCAAAGCAGTCCTCTTTAAATTTATAAATTTCACCATTACAAATAATCAAGACACCTTGGGCAGCAGGGACAAGCTCCTCTGTTGACCTTGACTTCCCGGACATGGCCTTCTCCGAGGGCATGCCTACCAACCCGGTGTTCCAGACAAAAGGCCGCTGCATGACAAGCACGTATACTAGAAATGTCGGTGAAATTATTCCACAGTTTCTATTCAGTCAAGCCTTGATTCAATCCACGAACAATAATAGGGCGTGCAACAAGTTTTGGTCCTGGCGGTGCTACTACACACGTACAGTCGAGATGGAAAACTTCCCGCGGACTCGAGTAATTTCCCTGGAAAACACGATCGTAAATTGGCCATATCTGGGGGATATATCTGGAAGTGATATCTACCGCTCATGGTGGTTCAAGACGTCTTGATATCACATCGTGGTCTCAGACGAGTCCCTCTTACCTCAATAATACGGTCACAAAATAGGGGCCAAGGGGCAGAAGAGACCCCAATTTCATGGCCTCAGTTAGCATCGCGACGTTGACAGAGATTTACGTATCTCATGACGTACCGTTCATCAGGTGGTGCCTTCATGATGTAGACAATTCACCTAGCCGAAGGTTGAGAAAATACATTCCTAGTTTGCCGGCGTAATGATGAAACTCTACCTCTGATCAAGTTCGCTGACACCAATAATGTCATTGATCTCTTCGAATAGCGGTTGCAACTGCATGTTTGAAGAATCCAGCCTTCTCAAGGTCGTGCTATGGTGTAAACGCAACGTCCGTCACTATACGGTATGAGGGTATACTCGAGCAACGTACCCGACACTACTGCATGATAATCAACATTCATATCTTGCTACACGGTTTATTAGAGACTGCTTACCACGTGAACGACTTTGTGTCTAGCTCATATTGTCCCGTCAATAAGGTAGACCGAATAAACTCCAGTATCATGTGCCTCCAAGACGGCAGGTTCCCGCGCTCCGTCGTACCATATTTATCTCCCGTATCGAGACAAATTCTGCTTCCAGGGTCCATGTTGGCATGTTCCCTGGCCAAATGTCTCCACAGACAAACATGCCAAGGTACTTCAGAGTACTTCAGACCCGAGGTGTTCTCATTTCCGCCAACCAAGGGAGTACTCGGCCGGGAATGCCATTGCCCAACAACACCCTGATGGGGAAAACCAGATACGGGCCTTTTCCAACAAATGCGACATCATATCTTGGCCAGGCATGCTGGCCCGCTGCTCTCATGTTTCACGCTGCCAGGCACTGCCTCCCCCAGGCAACACATCCTGATAATTCGTCCGGGTATACTACAGGATCCCGCTATACCAGGCGCGCTTTACGATTCCACATATTGAATGGGGTGTATTCAATGCCGTAGGCGGCATACAATCCCACTTTAGAAATCCCTGCAAGCACCAGCCCCCTTAATACCGCCGCGGTTGCCGTTGCAAGAGTTACATTCGCTTACGACAATATCTGCCCTCAAGCCGGGGCAGCCCGTCTATTGTCATTGCATCGTCCGCCGACGGATGGGTTCGAAATTGCTTGAGATGGGAAGCAAATCTGCGCCTTCCAATATAGCACAGCACACAGCGAGTCCTGGGCGGCTGTACAGTCGAATACCAGCGGTACAACTTGAAATAATCCAATAGTCTAAAAGGCGAAGTCATGTCTGATTATTATTATTACGACACCAAAGCCTTACACATGCAGGATGAGGCAGTTCCATTTTCCTTTCAACCCCGTATTATTCATCCTCACACTATAGAATACCAGTCATTCGAACTACACTACACTACTTTACAAGAGGAGACCAAAGGCAGCCAGGACAAGGGCACCAGCAGCCTGCAGAGAAGCGGCACCAGCAGTAACAGGCGGCTGGGCAGGGGTAGTCCCGTTGTTGTTATTAACAGGCTTATCACCAGAGGTAAGGACGTAGCAGCCATCAACGACGGTGCAAGTCTGCCCGCTGGGATACTGATGAGCCGGGTTGCAGCTATACCGGCCCTGGCTATCAGTCGAGCCGGGAGCAGGGCAGGCCGCACCCGAGGGCTGGGGAGGCTGGACGGCACTGGTGGTGGGAGCAGGCCCGTTGTCGACAGGCTTGCCGTCGGAGCCGCAGAGGAAGTAGCAGCCCTGGATGGCAACGCAGCTCTGGCCGTTGGGGTACTGGTGGGCAGGGTTGCAGCTATATCGGCCCTGGCTGTCTGTCGATCCGGGGGCAGGGCAGGCGGCGGCAGTCTCGGTGGGAGCAGGAGCATTATCAACGGGCTTGCCGTCGGAGCCGCAGAGGAAGTAGCAGCCCTGGATGGCAACACAGCTCTGGCCGTTGGGGTACTGGTGGGCAGGGTTGCAGCTATACCGGCCCTGGCTGTCGGTTGAGCCCGGGGCAGGGCAAGCGGCAGCAGTCTCGCTAGGCTTAGCAGGGCTGTTGATGACGGGCTTTCCATCGGGGCCGAGGAGGAAGAGGCAGCCGTCGACTTGGCCGCAGGTCTGGCCGTTGGGATACTGGTGGGCCGGGTTGCAGCTATACCGTCCCTTGCTATCAGTCGAGCCGGGAGCAGGGCAGGCGGCAGCAGTCTCGGTAGGCTGGGCAGCAGTGGTAGGGCTGTTGTTGACAGGCTTGCCATCAGGGCCGAAGAGGTAGGGGCACCCGTCGTCGATTTCGCAAGTCTGGCCGTTGGGATACTGGTGAGCCGGGTTGCAGCTATAACGGCCCTCGCTATCAGTCGAGCCGGCAGCAGGGCAGGCGGCAGCAGTCTCGCTGGGCTGGGCTGGGCTGTTGTTCACGGGCTTTCCATCAGAGCCGACGAGGAAGGGGCACCCGTCGACGACGGCGCAAGTCTGGCCGTTGGGATACTGATGAGCCAGGTTGCAGCTATAGCGGCCCTGGCTATCAGTCGAGCCGGCGGCTGGGCAGTCGGCGGCGGCCACGGCGGTGGCGCCAACAAGAGTTGCGATGAACGAGGCCTTCATTTTGAATTAGGATGGATCAGCTTGTTCTGTGAGCGAGTGAATATGTCTTTTCAGAAACGACTGCGAGTTGTTGATGGGGAAGCTACCTTGGCTGGAGGGCAAGCCGTGGCCGGGCCTCGATATATATACATAACTCGCCCTACAGACATGTATCTAGGCCGACGACCCGGTCAACGAGCTGTCCCCCACGTTTTGCCGCATGCCGGCCCTGGATAGTCGGAGTGACCGGATGTTTTGATCACGGTGCTAAACGACAGTGACTATACGGTAGGAAGGGTGGGTTTCTGATGTCACATAGTCGTGAGGATGACGGGTCGTGTTCCGAAAACAACATGTATACGAAACCGCACGGCCAATTAGACCCAGCCTGGTCGTATCATGACCTTGGCCACGCTGTGGATATAATGCGCTCTTGTCCCAGATCGGTCTGGTGTCTTTGATCAACAATACGGCGCCGTGGAGAGACAGAAACAAAGGCTAGCGCACTCCCTCTAGCAAGAGACTAGGCCAGGAGCGCATGCCAAATTCCAGGGCTGGGTGAAGACGAAGCCGTCGGTGGATGTGGCCGCCGGCTGTTGTTGTTTTGTTGTCGTTGCCATTGTGATCATGTCTCATCCCACGATGCTGTTCCTTGGAGCACGTTGCCCGCACGCGGCCTTATCAAGGACTCAAGGGCGTATCTGCTGAAATCCTTTCATTTAGGAATACGAGGCAACATTGAAAGCAGCGGAATTGTCCCCACCGCAAGTCTTCACCATCATCAGACGATGACGCATGGATGTCCGAGTATTTGCTGGACCCGAGCTCGATTAAGCTTTTCATGGTTGCCCTGAGCTTCAGCCCATTCATCCTCCCCGGTCGTCAATGACGCCAAGTCGCCTTCCATTTCAGAGGGGAAAACCTTCGTATAGCACAGCATGGCTCTCTGGCTTATTCGACTGGGCGGCCATGGCCCCTTGCTGTCGGTATTCGTGTGTGCGGAGTTGTCAAGGAACGCGGACGGCAGGGACAACTTGCATCGGCCAATGAGACGGCGCGGCCAACCGAGCCCCTCGATCGGTTAAGTGTTCCCGCCCCAGCCCCGCAGACTGGTCGTAGTTGGCCCGAGCAGAAAAATCGCCACAGACGCGGTTTAGCGCGAAGCGGTTTCCCGAGTTCGTTCCTTGTCGAGTGAGTCGTTGGCGCAACTGGTTCGCATCATCATCTTTGCCTGCTTGGTAAGGCGTAAGGGAATTTGGGCAACCTACATGCCCTTATTCAAGCATTGGTTCCATCAGCCTCTACCATTGATCTAAGGTTCCTCATATAAAATCATGCAGGGGGTTGCACGGCAAAATTAATTTAAAAGGAACGGGAAGGACGTGCCTCGTGATAAATTAATATGGGGCATGCTCGCAGCCAAGCAATCGCACGTGTCAGAACAAGTAGAAAAGCGGGTCACATCTCGCCCGGAAGTTGAGAAGACCCTGTGAATCTCACGATTCTGAACATTCCTTGACGCAATTCCTCAATTTAGTAATCAATGTTGCTGCATTCTTGGACACTCACCCGCCGAGCCTTATGCGGGCACGCTTTGCTCATGAGCCGGATTCCAGTGGCCGGAACGACACATATACCGTGAGACAAAGATATAAAGGCAATGCAAAGCTGCAAACATGGAAGCGATGGATGAGCGACTACGTTGCAGACCAACATGCCACCAGCCATGTCCTCGTTTTCCAGCACCGACTCGCCCGTTTTACCATGAGGCAGCAGCTGTGCGCGGTGCTTGCAAGACGCTATGATGCGAGGCTTTGGCTAGTCTATTTCCACTGTGGCCCTTCGTATCCAGCGGTGCTATGATGCGAACCGTCCAGCTGAGGGCTCTGGCTATGGCAGCTATGGCCTCCTGTCCAGCTGGAAATATGGGGATGGCGGCGCTATTCCCGTGCGTAGTTCGTATATCATGGACGTGCTGGCCTGAGTGAGGATCTGAGCCCATTGGTGTATGTACGAGTGTTTTTCAGCCTTGCAATGTTTGGAACGTTACATGTCTAGTCTTGACCCGACGTCCCACCTGCCCCTGGGCTTCCCATCTTGCTCCAATATAGCTGAAGTGCTTTGGGGCTTTGGGCATTGAGGCGTCTTTCCACGTCGATGACGGCCAGTTGCCTGCCGCGGAGATGGTCTCCAGGCTCTTCGAGAATGGTACCCGGTTGTCGACCGTGCATTGCGTCTATTCTATTTTTATGTTTATTTCTTTTCTTTTCATTAAGCCTGTTGCAGTCCCGGTCCCCTACCAAAAAATATGGCAGCTTGCTTCGTCTGGGGCAATAGTACCGTGGTTGCTATGTCGGGCAAACGGAATCATACGGACTGGTGAAACCAAGCAAGCAATGCTTCTATTTGGGAGGCCAAACGTACCCGTCGGTGCCAATTACTACAGTTTTGTTATTAGTAACACCATCAAATCCCAGGCAGGCTCCGTTCTTGAGCAACTTCTTTACGGTCAACAAGCCATTGATAGTAAGATTCCAAAAGCGTCGACCGTCTCACTCAATCAAGCTAGTTAACTGCGACAAGGGCTCAGTAGAGAGCTTGGAGCAATAACTCAATGGGGCTAGTAACAGTCTTCGGTATCACAAGTCATTGGGACCAAATGGTCTTGTTCATACAAAGCGGTGGTTCCTCGAGCCCTAGGGTCTCGCGATCAGTACCCTCGTGCAAGATCTGTGTGATATGAACAACCTGAAGTCTGGACTTTTCGATCAGCCATAAAATTGGTCTTCAATTCTATACCAAGATAGATCCATTCATGGACCGTGCCACGAATAACTAATAGCTAAACATGGAGTGATACTTGCTGTTAACTGGTGGTCGTTCATCACAGCGTGTTATAACCGTTCCTAAACTGACCAAGATCACTGGCAGTTTTGCTAAATAGTAGAAGTGCCATAAAGCTATCGCGACCAAGACTGGTCGTACGTACCAAATATATCGGGCAACTGATAGGAACTTTTCCATCGCCGCCAAAGCCGTGTAAAAGGCCAATATGAATGATTTGAATGACCCTGAAAACAGGATTTGTTTTTCGTCCTGGTACATGGTGGATTAACCTTGAAGCCCTCGAAAGTGATGAATAGGCTCTCGAAGCATACCAGTTGGCGTTGGCAAGACAGCTGGGCATCATCAAAACTTTGCCTCGCGTTTCCGACGACCACCTTTGGACCGAGACAAAGGCGATCTATTCGTCAAAACCTATGCTGTTGCTCAGATCCTATGCCCACTTTTGAATGCGACACTTTTGAATGCGAAAGCTTTTGTTCCTTTCATCTCATTCCTTGGTAAAATATGTTTAGCACCAAGAAGCTATTTTTTAATACTAAAAGCGTTGTGGCGATTTGGTAGGAAAGTCGCGAGTTATTGCGATGATAAGTCTTCTTCATGTAGTTACCAAGTCTCGGTTGCTCCTATGACCCTAACCCTAAACTACCCGCACGGCACCCCCTTTATCAGGCGGTCCGAAGCGCGCCTCCTGTCGACATGCACAGGTATGGCTAGACAATTGACGCCTATGGCTAGACAGAAGCAACAGCACCGTCAGATACAAGAGTCAGCTGGTTATCGATCGGTACTTACTATTGCGAGGAAACAAGGTAATTCTCTCATGAAAGCGCTGCGGCCAACTCTTGGTAGGCTATCCCCAGGTCATCTCCGAACAATCCTCCCATACAAAACTCGTCCCATCGACGGCTTTCTAACGTCTAATCGCATGTAGATGAACCCTAGCTCTAGGGATGCCGCTTTCTTTGATGGCATGGCTCGAGAACCGTTGTCACCCAGGGATGCCTCGTGCCGCCAGCTACCAAGCGCTTCCTGACCACGATGGGGCAGAAGACGGTCAGCTCTTGGATGATTTCAGCACACAACTCAATTCTTAGTACAAGAGTCTAAACAAATAACAAGCACCTACATATCGCTAGCCTCTATTTCAGAGAGAAATTCTTGATGTGGGGGACCTGGTATACTGTCATGATGCAGGCACTGCGCGAGCGCGAGTTGCGATGCAAACGGAAGCCAACCACAATGCGCCATACCAATATTCATGACGGTGGCTCCGTTGCCGGTAATCTCCTCCTCAACGATGCGAGAGGGGCACCAAGTTGAAAAATTCTACGAGGAAGCACGGAAATGCGTGTCCAAGCTCACAGACTCCTAGGGGCAGACCCAACAACCCAACATCTGGGCATTGGCCGCGACTTCTTGGCATCTGCGTCTTTGCTCCGCTACACAATTTCTTTTTTATGAAGGCATCACGTTTTATTTGTTGGTTCTTACACGGGCCGCTGGACATGGAGTCTGGGCGTCAGAAAACTCATGCGGCTCCGGACTGTGTCCCAGATATTTCCCCGGAACTTGGCCCCTAGCCCTAGCAACTCCCAGACCACGACTGAAGACTACATTCACAATGGTCGGGTTGCAATTGTTCATTTTCAGCCTTGTCTCCTGCCTCGGACACGCCCTCACACTGTCCGAGCCGCGGGTTACAAACACGACCACAAACACCACGGCGACCCTCAGGGCCAGGTCGGCACCCCCTTCGCGCACGTCAATCTGTGGATATTCAACGGGAGACCCATCCAAGCCCTGGTCGGCACCAGATGGATACGACTGCCGTGTAGACACTTCTCACGGCCTCTGGGGGTTCTGTCCCACGACCATCATTGCCGCACCAGACTGTAGTTTAGGCGGCTACTGCTTCGACGACACCTCCTGTCAGACCGGATGCGGCCGACTTCGCAACAACACGAGAATATCAACGTGGACATGGTAGGAGCCCCCTGCTCCATGTAGCTAAACAACAAACGGCTAACAATAACTGGCCAGCACACCTGAAGACCCTTCATCAAGATACTGTTCCTTTGCGTACCTCACCTTCGGAGTTGATCAGACCTATAGCTACTATCACTGTGGCCCCGACCCCGGCACTGCTCACTTCATGGCACAGCCGACAGCCGAGA